AAACAGAAGCCCCCCTGAAGAGGGAAGGCTTGAGGGGCACCTTTGCAGCAGAGCAGAGCCAGCTTTGCAGCTCCGACCCAGTGGCCGGCACGCACGTGGCCAGGTCCGTCAGCCCAAGCTCTTTCTCTCTGGCTGTAGGGAGACAAAGCAGCTTTCTCGCAGTACCCAGTGGACGTTGCCAACTGTGATCCCGGTCTGAGTCCTCTCACTTCTCCCCTAACACCTCCCCTTTCTTCCTCTCCCGTCAGCCCCTCTCCCAGCCCTGACTTGCTGGCCAGCCTGTGGGTGGGTTCCCCAAGATTGATGGAGCCGGCCAGGAGAGGTCAGCTCCCAGCCCGTGTTTGCGTCAGCTAGCCATGGGGGAAGTCAGGGTGGGATCCTTCAACCTCCTGGCCCATATTTTTCTTGCAGGCACTTGGGTGGGCGTAGTCTGCTTTAATTCCTAGGAATATCTGTGCTATTAATAAATTGGATGCAGAACAAAGCAGGCTGGGTTTGCGCCCCTCCTTTAAAACATTTTTTTAAATTGGGCACGGGTGGAAGTGAGGAGTTAAACCCCCATTCCTGGGGTGAGGAATGGGGATTTCATTTTCTGCTTTTGGTATCATGAATTAAGAGTTCCCATGAGGAGCAGCCCCAGACCTGTCAACCTGCCTGCAAGTTCACTCTGCCTTTGAGTCTCAAACTGGGTCAAGTCTAAGAGTGATACACCTTACAACTGAGAAAAGGTCAGATTCCCAAATCTAGCTCTTCTATCTGTTCCCTCTCCCAAAATCCCAGCCCCAAGTTTCTCCCTGGTTGTTCCCACTCTCTCCCAACCCCTCCAGCCCTGACAATAACCCATCATTGTTATCTCATTGGGTGTTTGCAGACCTCTTTACAGCCATTGTTGTTTTTTTCCTTTTATTTGCAAAGTACTTTACAACTTTTATTACAAGTCTTTCCTCTGAATGTGGGGTAACACTGACCCATTTCAGAGAGCTGGATTCCCTTTCTAAGTAGCCGATCCAGACCCCAAGATGCCTGGCACTGGGTGGGTGGGTCTTTTGAAAGTCAAGGCCATGGCCATGGCTTTCCTTATTAGAAATCGTGCCCACTTGCCCTCGGGAAGTTCCACCCAGGGCACGTCTATCTAATGAGGTGGTTGTTACCAAGGTTCACACAGATGTTAGTGCTGGTTTGGGGCTCCCAGCCTGTCACCTCCCACCTCCCCCAGAGTGGGAGCTAAGCAGCAGTGTTTGAACTTTCTTTCTCTTCTTCAGTCCAGTGGGTTCCTGCCTGTGTCAGATGTAAGAAAATAAAATGGTCCCTTCCCCCATGGCATAGTGGGATTCGCTGCAGATGATCAAAAATTTTTGTTTTCTTCTTTTTTTTAAATCATATTTAAAAGCTAAGCAGTTATAACATTTCAGAATGATGCTTTTAAAAATGAAAAAGCCACACAATTTATTAGCCTAATAGAAGCTCCTTCCCGGTGGTCTCGGCTGCCGTCACAGTATATAGGATGTTTTGCAGGCTGCATTTTTTATTTAACATGGGAGGATGGCATTTTTCTCTATCATTAGGTTGTCTTCGTCATAATCATTTACAACTGTGTAACATCCCATTGAGAAGGGCAGATGACAAGATCTGGTAGAAGACATGGAGCCTTGACCCATTTGGAGGTGTGGTAGGTTGTAGGGAGACGCGGTTCCTTTACGATGCTTTTAGGAAGCTCGTCCTTAAGGGCTTTCCTTTGGCTGCTATTGTAATGCCTGACTCTTCAATCTGGGTCAGACTTCTGCGCCTTCTAGACAAGCGGCCTCTGCCACCATAATACCCACCTTGCTTGAGGTATGTGTCCCAGGGCTTCCCGAGTGGCTCCGTGGAAGCCAGGATCCGCCTGCCAACGCAGGAGACACGGGTTCCGTCCCTGGTCTGAGATGATCTCACGTGCCGTGCAGCGACTGAGCTCATGCTCAGCAGCGAGAGGCCACCGCGACCAGAGGCCTATGCATTTCCCGTGCACTGCAACTAGAGCCCCCACTCGCCACACCTAGAGAAGGCCCTTGTGCAGCGATGAAGACCCAGCACAGCCAAAAAAATTTTTTTAAAAGATACATGGCCCAAATGAGTTCAGTTATACTGTTACTCATTACTGATACTCTGGCCCAGTTTGCCCAACCAGGGCTTTAGTGTTCATAGCTCCTATGACCTCTGTCAGAGTGCTTAAATAGCAGGTACTCAGTAAATATTTGTCAGTGACAAATACATACTTGCCGACCTCCAGTGCCTTCCCCAGCCTGTAAAATAGTTGCTTGCCTGTGTAACCCATTCTGTGTGGCAGGTGAGAAGGTGTTTCTAAGGCAAACCTTGGTGTTGGGTTCTCAACACGTCAGGCTAGTAACCAGCAGAGAGACCAGAACTGCTAGGGATGCCCCTGGGATGAGACCCTGTCTGGGATGTCAAACAGTAAGTGTGAAGAGAAAAGGGAACGTCCCCTCCAAAAAAAAGAGGAATGGATTGAGAGACCTCTGTTTGTGCAGCCTTTAGATGAACCGGAACATAGGAAAGAGGTTGGTTTGCTCATCTTTAAAAGGAAAAGAGTGTGAACCTTTATCTGTGAGAGGCACGTTCTGAAATATTCATGAGTGAAATGGCAGAAAGTCTGAGATTTTCTTTAAAAAAAAAAAAAATCAGGTAGGGAAAGTGGGTGGAGGTATACATGAGACAAGATTGGCCACAAAATGTTGAAAGCTGGATGGCAATTAAATAAGAGTTCGTTTTCCTATTCAGGCCACATTTGGGCCTGAAAAAAAAAAAAAGTAATTGAGTTGTGCTGGGTTTGGAATGGGAAGGTGCTGTAGAAAGCTCCGTCATGAGTTAGACCCGAATGACGAGTATCAATTTTGAGGCTGTAGCGCCATCTAGTGTTGATTGCAAACACGCTACAAATGAGGACATTGCAAGCGCCTCTCCTTGGTCCGAGGGCCTTTTATGAGCTCCCCTGGCCTCTGCAGCCCTCTCATCAGAAGGCTGGGCTGAGGGAGCCAGGCAAGGGTGCGGTGGCCGTGGTGGTGGAGGGTGACGTGCCGGTTGTTGACGCCTCCCCCGGGTTTGGGAAAGGAAGCTGAGTCCAGGAGTCATCATGTCATGTGGGGCTCTGAAGGCAGGTGACCTTGCTGGAGGGTTCTCAGTGTGACCTCGTGCAAAAATAGCCTCTCTTGTGACTGTGTGTGCTCAGCTCCCCAGACTGAGCAAACAGCCCCTCACACCTGCACACTGTTGACTCACAGTTACTTGTTTGCAGGTGCAAATGACTGTTTGTGTACCCAGAGTTGGGGGGAGGGCCCCCACCATCCTTTTCTCTCTTAGCTCATGTTCCCTTAGAGCAGGTAGTGGGGCCACAGAACTGGCAGAATGTGAGACCCTAACCCCCAGGGCAAGGGGGCCAAGTCCTGATGGCAGAGAAGGCTGTTGCCCTCCTCCTCAAGTCTCCCCGTGAACTAGAGAAAAATCCACTCTTGCTTCTTGTAGTAGGATGAGAACAATCTGGACACCAGAGTGGCTCTATTTAGGGACAGACAATTAGAAAGAATATAAAATTTTTCAAAATAGGAAGCAATACGCATGGAGTCAGAGAGATCTCTGGGAGTTCTCAGCCAGGCTTTATATAGATAACAGGGAATAAGAAAACTGGCCCAACCTATCTCTCCCAACCTATCAGGATGACACGAGTGAAATGTGTCAATTGTTACATTCTATAGACTTTAGGACTTCCTTGGTGGTCCAGTGGTTAAGACTTGGAGCTCCCGATGTAGGGAGCTTGAGTTCGATCCCTGGTCAGTGAACTAGATCCCACATGCTACAACTAAGACCCAGCATGGCCAAATCAGTTAATCAGTCAATCAATAAGTAAATATTTAAAAAAATTCTATAGACAATGGAAGACTAAGGTGATGGGGAGGGAGGGGCATGTGAGCGAGTACAGGGGAGTGGCAGGGATGGCCACATTCCTGTGGACAGGTTCCACTCTAAGGCATCACTGCTCATAATATGCACCTTTATTTCTTTGTTCCAATAGGCAAGAAAAATGTCAAACTATGACATAGCATAATCATACAGAAATTGAAATGAGAAAAATGAATTACAACCTTCTCATGCAGGGAAGTTTGAAAATTTCAAGAACTTTCAAAAAAGAGAGTCCCTTTGGCTCAGTAATTCTATATCTAGGGGAATATCCTGAGAAATAACCAGAAATGCTAAGAGTAGTTTACAGAATGAGCTGTGTCTACAAAAATCAGAAACTGAGTAATGACTTAGTAAAAATTCAATGAGAATAAAGGATGGTGCATTTCTGTGATAGGATAATATACACTAAGGTTTCTGAAGAATTTCTAATATGGGAAAATGAATATGGGAAAATGAAGTGAAAAGACAGGCTCTTAATGATATAGCCTGACCTCAAGTAGGCAAAGCTATGTCAATATAAAAAATATAAAGTATTAAAAAGGATGTAATAGAACAAACTTGGTGACCTTTGAGTTATAGGATTACATGTGATTCCTATATTCTTTTTACACATGTCAGCATTTAACTTTCTTGAAGTAAATACTTATTATATTTTTACTGAAAAGGAACTGAACTCTCAATTCTGCAAGGGAAGAAAGAGAGAAAGACGGTCTCGAGGGGAACTCAGCATGGGGTGAGACCCCCAGCTCTGCAGGAGCGGCGGGGGGCCCAGGTGCTACTAGTCTCTGCCGCACCCCTTCCCATTCTCAGAACCAGGGAGAGCTCTGCTGTGTCTCTGAGGCCGGCGGTAAGATGTCCACTCCCCAGGACAGGCCTTGGAGCCGGCTCTCCAGGGTGAGGGCAGAGTGAGGAATAACATGGCAGCCCAAGGCGACCCGTCTTCCACCCCTTGCCAGGAAAGGCCATTATCTCTGTGGTCTCTAGGTTCTCCGATGTGAGCTTTCTGGGCCCAGGCAGAGAGCTAATCCTCTGTGTTGTTTCCCACCCAGTAGATATGTTTGATGACTTCTCGGAAGGCAGAGAGTGTGTCAACTGTGGGGCCATGTCCACCCCTCTGTGGCGGCGGGACGGGACAGGCCACTACCTGTGCAACGCCTGCGGCCTCTACCACAAGATGAACGGCATCAACCGGCCCCTCATCAAGCCCCAGCGCCGCCTGGTAAGCCAGGGCCTGGTGCCGCGTGGCCAGGGCAGGGGGCAGGGGGCTTGCTTCTCCGCTTCTCTCAGCTCCTGGCTTCGGGCTCAGCCTCGGTGGGAAGCTCCCGGTTTCGAATCTGGGGTTTCAAGTTATCTTTCAAAGAAGGTGCAGGTTGAAGGATTGGGTGGGTGGCAAAGTCATTTCTTCCACCTTCAGAGTTAGTTTGAACTGTGAGGATGGTCCAGCCCATTTAGTTCAACCCCTTAATTATGCAGAAGTGAAAAGTGAGGCTCAGAAATGCTATGTCTTGCCTGCATTGTGTGGTGTGTCTCCTGCGCTCACGTCAACCCCATGAGGAAGCCTGACTCTTCCTTTTTATGTTGTGACTTACCCAGTTTTCAGTTGATCCATTGACAAACCCAGAGATTATGTGAGGGTGTGCTGGGCCCTGTAGCTGGGGAGGAGATAGAAGCAAGTTTTGGCTCCTAGTTTCCTGGTCATTTCTACCACGATTTAATTCTGACCAGTAGCTTTCACAGATATTAGGGAAGGAAGAACAGAGGGGATAAACCCTGGCGCTTGCTTCCCTCTCTTGAAGTCAGTGTTTGAAGTCTCTGGGATACACTAATTGCCAACCCCAGACCCTGAGGCCCAGGTTAATTCTACTTTGGGGAGAAGTTTTTCTGCCTACAGTGCCCAATGGTCGCTCAGCTTTTCCCTGACGTGAGTGACTGATAATGTCGCTGACGTAGCAGGAACGACCAGGATTTGCTGTCTCCGGCAGCCCAGCCCTTGGTTGCATGCACCTGTGAGAGGCTGGGGTACCCGATTCCCAGCATCTGGGCATCGCAGCATCAGATCATCTCTTGCGGGGGCGGCGAGTCTGAGACTCACGTGGCCCTGCCCCGCGATCGCTGGCGGTGAAGCAGTTGCCATGGCACCGGCCTTGGGCCTGAAGGGTCTGTCTCCTGTGTTGCAGTCTGCCTCCCGCCGAGTGGGCCTCTCCTGCGCCAACTGCCAGACCACCACCACCACGCTGTGGCGCCGCAACGCCGAGGGCGAGCCCGTGTGTAATGCCTGCGGCCTCTACATGAAGCTCCACGGCGTAAGGCTCCCGCGCACCACGTCCCGTACCTTCCTCCACAGCTTGGGTCTCATCCCTCTTCTTGCCCACAGATCATAATTCATTGTCTCCTTCTTAAATATAGTTAAATCTGGAAGTATCCAGAGACTGTCTTACAGCCGTCCATTAAGGCAGCTGTAACAATGCCATAGACTGGGCAGCTTGGGTCTCCTGCGTTGCAGCTGGATTCTTTACTGACTGAGCGACCCGGGAGGCCCACGGGGCAGCGTGTGTGTGTGTGTGTGTGTGTGTGTGTGAGAGAGAGAGAGAGAGAGAGAGAGAATCACTCAGTCATGTCTGACTCTTTGCGACCCCATGGACTGTAGCTCACCAGGCTCCTCTGTCCATGGGGGATTCTCCAGGCAAGAATACTGGAGTGGGTTGCCATTCCCTCCTTCAGGGGATCTTCCCAACCCAGGGATCTAACCCAGGTCTCCGGCATTCCAAGTGGATTCTTTACTGTCTGAGCCACCTGGAAGCCCTACTGGGCAGCTTAACCAACAAGAATTAATTTCTGTGGTTCTAGAAGCTGGAGGTCTGAAATCAGAGGCCAGATCAAGGGAGAACCCCCTGTCTGGTGCCATACTTCTTACTGTGTCCTTACATGGTGGAAGGGGCAAGGATGCTGTGGGGTCTCCTGCATAAGGCCACTAATCCCATTCATCAGGGCTCATCCTCATGACCTCATCACCTTCCAAAGGCCCCACCTCCTAATACAATCACCTGGGACTATAGGCTTGTGAACATATCAGAGGGGGATACACATTCAGACCATAGCAGAGACATTGCTAGGGAACATCACTTCCATCTTTAACACAACATAATCCTAATTCCCATTTTACAGATGAAGAGACTCAAAAGTAGTCTGTGTATGTGGTAGTATGATGTATAACAAAGGTAACAATTCAATGCATAAAGAATAGCTTTTTAAGAATGCTTGTATTGACACAGTCTGGAACACAAAAATGACACTTGGCCTCTGCCTCCTACTAAAACCAAAAGTAAAACTTGGGTGTATTAAAGATATGAAATGTAAAACCTCTTTTAAAAGGCACAAATAAAAATACTAGAAGAAAATGTAGAGGGAGAGGTTATATAACCTTGGGGATGGGAGGAGAACTTTTCTTCAGCAAATTTTCAAAATTCTTAAGCCATAAAAGAAAAAGATATATTTGATTGTATACCTGTTCATATTAGTATATGGAAAAAGATACCCCAAGAAAGTAAAACCAGGAGGTAAGGGGAGGGGGAAATGGAGTTCCTGTTTAATGAGCAGAGAGTTGTTTTGCAAGATGAAAGTGTTCTGGCGATGAATGGTTGCATAACAGTGTGAATATGCTTGACACTGTTGAACTATACATTTAATAATGGTTAAGATGGTAAGTTTTATGTGATGGGCATTTTATGACAATGTTTTTAAATTGCTGATGTGGGTGGGGGTGCACATGAGGGCAGGATTCTTCTGAAATCAGGATGGTGTTCAAGAAGGTTTGAGGTGGGCGGAGGGGGGGAGGGCTGGGGGGGAAGGACACTTTCCTCCAGAGGTGGAGGTGCTGTCTCCTCTGACTAGGTTGACTGGAAGGCCGTTCAAGTTCACGAATGCTACTGCCCCCTTTTATTTTTTAGCCTCTCTGGTGGCTTAGTTCTCTGACCACAGAATGAACCTGGGGCCCTTGGTGGTGAGAGCACAGAGTCTTAACCACTGGACTGTCAGGGAATTCCCTACACTTCTTTCTTTAACAATTCCATGTTCATATCTCAAAAGTGGTTGTGGCTTTTCCTTCGGTATTTGCAGGTGTGGCCTGTGTTATTCCCATAGGAGAGACTAGCATAGACCAGGGACTAAAAGATTTGGTTGGCCAGGCCTGAAAGAAGCCAGATATGGGCAAGGCACACTATTTTAAAATACTAGAAAGAGGACCCTGCCAGTCTGCCCCTTTCCCTCCCCCAACCCAAGACAGAGTTCAGTGTTTTCATTTTTCTGTTTTCCCACGTCACCTATAAATCTGGTTATTTTCTATTTATGTCTTTCCCAACACACTGTGAACTCTACAGGGGAGGAACTGTGTCTTTAAGTCTGTTTCCTGTGGGTCTAGTACAGTATCCCAAAATATAAGTGTTCAACTCATCTTTTTAGTAGAATTGATTTCTTGTTCAAAAGGAGTTCCAGGCCTGATTCACTTAGACTCAGTCCCAAAGTTTGTAGAGGAATTGCACAGATCTGGCCTTCCCAGTGTGTATTTGTGTGTGTGTGTGTGTGTGTGTTGTGTAAATACTGTCACAGATCATGAACACCTGGAAAACCATGTATGTTGACTTGCAACCTCCTAGGTCCCCAGGCCCCTTGCGATGCGGAAAGAGGGGATTCAAACCAGAAAACGGAAGCCCAAGAACCTTAACAAATCAAAGACACCAGCAGGTGAGAAAAAGATCTTTGTGTAATTCTATGAATAATTGAGTAGTCCTCAGAGTGAATGAGCATCATGTATGCTCAGGTGGGCCAGCCCAGGCTGCAGAGGTGTAATGATAGCATCGTCCATTCCCTGCCTTTCAGGACAGAATGAATAACTTAGTGCAAAAGTAACATTGCCATGGAACATATTGGGGACTTTTAAAGCAGGCTCAACTTTTGTCATGGCCTGATTTTTGCCAGTTGCAAAGATTGCAGAGGTCCAGCTAGACCTCTCGGTCTCGGAGGAAAAAGGAACATTATTCAGTCCCTCCATCTTTAGTGCTGCAGCTACTCAAGAACTCAAGTCCTTTTGGTTCGCTTTGGGCTAAATGGGGTCAAGAAACCCAGGGCCCATGAGTTGTGTTCAGTTAGATTTGGACATTGATTTGTAAGCTGGTGTATAATTAACATTGTATGTCCTTTGTGCTTTACAAATCTCCTTCACAAATACTGTCTCGCTGATCCTTAAAGACCCTCACTAGATCCCATTTATGATCCCCATTTTACTAATGAACAAGCTGAGGCTCAGAGAGAGCAATGACTCAACAAGGGTCACAGAGCTGTGAATGGGTAGAGCTGGAATTAAAAGCCCAGGGTTTTCACTTACAAAATATGGATATTCTGTTAAATATCCATTCTGCCTCTCAGTTTCTAGATTTCAAGGTGAGGACTTGGGTCCCCTACCAAGAGCATTGCCTGTCTGACCGACAGGTACACACAGCTATATTTAAGATGGATAGCCAACAGGGGCCCGCTGTATAGCACAGGAAACTCTGCTCAATGTCCTGTGGCAGCCTGGACATGAGGGGAGCCTGGGGGCGGATGGACACGTATATATGTGTGATTGAGTCCCGTTGCTGTCCACCTGAAACTGTCACTACATTGTGAATCAGCTATACTCTAATACGAAATAAAAAGTCTAAAAAAAAGAGCACTTCCTTCTGTCAGGGCCACTGTCACAGATTTTACTGGAAAATGTGGCAGGGGCAGAGAAAATAAGTCAGCTGATCTGATGGAAATTTCATCTTCTAATGTAAGGCCTGACAAGTTCAGATGACTTTCCCTGCTCCACTACTGAGAACATGGCCAAAGTGCTCCTTTTCCAGGTTCCACAGTGGCTTGCCCCTTCTGTCAGTCACGTGTTATTAGAACGTGCAGTGTCTCTCCCTCCTTGCACATTGGGTGTATGTCCAGCACCTTCCCCTGGGAACTTCATCTCTTTATGTGCTGGAGTCCTGGGGCACCACGTGTCAATTCGGGTGTATGATCCCCCATCTGAAATTCCAAACCCAGGGAGCTAGATTTGGCAGCAAGACACAGTCTGAACTGACACAGGCTACTTATAATCTTTATTTATCCCATGTGTGAATATTCACATTTTGCTGGAGAACTATTAATGTGTTTAATTACTGGGTGTTGTCCCAGACCCTGCCGCAGATATTCTATCATATACAGGTCTTGCCTCATTTAAAATCCAAAAGTTTTGAATCCTGAGACATATGTGGCCCCAAGGATCTGGGATAAGGGGGGATGAGCCAGTCATCTGAAAAAGTTCCCTTGAAATTCTGCTGCTTCTGCTTCATCATGAGAACTGCCACCTTGCCCTGATGAAGGGCCCTGCTTCCCCTCTCCCCGGCAAGTGTAGACAGAGCCGTTAGCACTGATCTGCCCTGGCTGGCTCCAAGGGCCACCGTCTGTGTGTCCCAGCCCCTGGGCTACGTGTCCTGACTCTGCCTTGTTCCAGGTCCCTCAGGCAGTGAGAGCCTCCCTCCCACCACCAGTGCTTCCAGCAGCTCCAGCAGTGTGGCCACCAGCAGCAGTGAGGAGATGCGCCCCATCAAAACCGAGCCCGGGCTGCCATCCCACTATGGGCCCAGCAGCTCCCTGTCGCAGGTACTGCCCGTGCGGGAGTAGACTCCGGGTGGCCAGGCCCCCAGCCGAGGCAAGTGGCTGTCCACACAGGGGTCTATTTCAGCATATCTGATCAAGCTACAGTGATTTGGATACACAACCATGATATACTCTGTGCCAGGCTTCCCTGGTATCTCAATGGTAAAGAACACACCTGCCAATGATGAAGACGCAGGTTCGATCCCTGGGTTAGGATCCCTAGTACTCTTGCCTGGGAAATCCTGTGGACAGAGAAGCCTGGCGGGATATAGTCCAGGGAGTTGCAGAGAGTCATACACGACTTAGCAACAGCTGTGCCAGGACCAGTGAAGACGGGCTGGCACACAGCATGACTGCAACCCAAATCAGACCGTGGGCTTGCTGGGGGAAGTGGTGAACCCATCGCAGGCTGTGGGAGGCAGAATGGGGCTTTCTAAGCAAGTCTGTCTCCTCAGTGAGGGTGGCTTGACCTTGGCGGTAGGTAGATTTTTAACAGGAGGATGAGGTCCCTCCTGGCCTGTGGAAGCTGCAGTGGGCAGGTGGGAGGCTTGGGGTTGGTGAGGGGTCACAGGCAGGATGCTATTTAATGAGAGCTGGCTGCAGGTCCAGCTTCACACGTGTGTCCAGAAGATGGGCCAGCGGGACCCTCGTGTCCCTCTGTCAGATATGATTGCAACCCTGCTCCTCCACCCTCTTCCCTCTGTGGTTCCCCCATTTGGGACCAGAATGCCTCCAAACTTGGTCATGGTCTCCCATTAACTCATCTCTTCTCCTGTACTTGAGGTGAGCATGTCCTAATGAGCTTTCTGCCGTCAGAGTGAAGAGAAATTGATCCTGTGGGACCAGGAGAGCAAGGAGCCCCTTCTGGGCAGGGGGAATGGCCTCTCTTTGGAAGACAGAGATTGATGGTGCTAAGATGGTAGAAAATGTCTGATGCAATCATCGAAGGCATCTGAGGAGCCAGAATAGTCACAGGGTTCCTGGGTCAGTGCTCAGAAGCAGCTGGTCAGTCAGGAAGACCCCTTGCCTCTCATCCTTCATGGGTCGGGGGGCCAGCAGTGCGGCATGGTACCTCTCCTGCCCTTGTCTTTTGACCCTGTCCTCTGGTCCCCTTCCTGGGGCGGGAGCCAGCCTGGGCACAGAGCAGGGCTCCCCTCTCCTGTAGGAAGGATCCCACTGATGGTGTCTTATACCTTTCACTTTCAGACATTCTCGGTCAGCGCAATGTCTGGCCACGGGTCCTCCATCCACCCAGTCCTCTCTGCTCTGAAGCTCTCTCCGCAAGGCTACGCGGCTTCTGTCAGCCAGTCACCACAGGCCAGCTCCAAGCAGGACCCTTGGAACAGCCTGGCCTTAGCTGACAATCATGGGGACATAATCACTGCATAATGTCACCCCTTCCCTCTTCGGATCCTGCCCGGACTTGGGGACACGGGGGACAGCAGAGATGAGGCTCTGGGCTCCGGGGTGCTGGCCTGCTCTGCCTGGGAATGACTCCAGACAACAACTGGGAAGAAACTTGAAGTCAATGATTTGCTTAGGGGATTTTAGCGCATACCTTTTTTTTTGGGGGGGGGGACTGGAGAGCTCAGACTGTGATCAGGAGGAGCCCACCCCCTTCCCTAGGAGCACACCTCAGCCCCTCCCACGGAGCTGCAGACTTTTCTCATTTTTCTGCCCCATCACCCCCGACAAGAGACGAGAAGTCCTTCTCCCCTGTTTCCACCACTGCACCCAAGATGGTGGCCTTTCCACGGTGCTGTGGGCACCGGGGATCCCAGGGCAGGTAGAGCGGGCATCTGTTGGACGTGTGTTGGGATGCCTCGCCCCGCGGCCGGTCCTGCCCTCGGCCAACACTCCCCTTCGGGCCCAGTGCACCCGCCTCCCTCATACTGAGTCTTGACTCCAGAAACACTGCATGTAGGGCCAGTGTTACCAGATGCTGCGTGGGGAGAGTGGCTTCCGCAAACTACGTGGCAACCTCGCGTCCCTGCAAGTTCCTCCTGCGGCTCAAATCGCTCCTTCTCTTCACCCCCGCCCTCCTCGAGGCTTCTGAAAAGAAACGCCCCTCCGCTGCTCTTGGTGATTCTGCTCTGCCTGCAGTTTGAACTAGTCCCCGAATCCTTCTTCCGCCCCATCACGCTCAGGGGCGTTCCTGAGTAAGAACAAAAAAGGTTCTGCTGCTGAAGCGAATTTGACCAGCATTCATCTGAGACTTGAGATCCTTCTGGACAGGATGTCTGGTGGATGGCCTCCGCCAGCGCGGCTGGGGATGCGCTGCGTGGGGCGGGGTTGTTGGCCTGGAACTTGCGGATGCGCTGTGGTTCCCTGGAAACGCACCTGTTGCCTGGGCCGCAGGCGGAGTCCATCTGAGGGGCGCGCACTGCCTGCACCCGCGTCCTTTCTCCAGCAGAAGGCGTCTGTCCAGGAGGCAAAAATGCTAGGGATTTTCCAATATATATTTAAACAAACACAGCACAACTCATGGAAGAAAGACGACGAGTGATGAGAGAAGATACAAGGGCGGGAGGGGGCGCCTTACCGCTCCCCCGGTTTGGCAATTGGCCTCCTCTCCGCGTTGCTATCTGCTCTCTACCCGTGACCCGGGGCTCGAGAAGATGCTGCCTTCCGTGCCCTGGCTGCCAACAGAGTGTAGCTGACTAGCCTTCCTCTGTGCTACGCCAAACACCCAACCCCCGCCCCGCAATCCCCCCGGCGGTAGCAGAGTTATCTTTAAACCCAGGTTCTGTTTTAATCATCATTTACATTGGCTTTCTTCTAGGAAAGCCGCCCCTCACCCCTTGTATACCCTTCCCTAACCCACAAAACTGCTAACGTTGTCTTAAGGTGAAATGGCTGTAAAATCAGTATTTAACTAATAAATTTATCTGTATTCCTCTTTCCCTTCTCCTCCTCCCTCTGCGGAATCTTCCGAGGTCCACTGCTGCCCGTTGCAAGGCAGTCCTGAGCCGCCGAGGCCCCTTTCCTGAATCACTTTTCCGTCCGTTCCTTTTGGCAGTTGGCCGAGGCTTCCTCTGTAGGTGCTGGGGGCTAGTGACAAGGACACGCATCCGAGCCCTGCTACCGACTAGTCTGTGACCTCGACAGGTAACCTCTAGGTTTGGTTTCCTAGGGCGAGTTGAACCAGCCCTTAACTGAAGTTCCTGTGGCCTCTTAGAAGTTGCTACCCCCACGAAGGGGGACATTTTTAGAGCTGCTGGCGAACACTGGTAGCTCAGTGTAAAGGAGAGCTGCGAGGTAGTAGCCTCTCCAGTCCATCTTATTTTCGACGTGTGCTGGAGGGTCACACTGAGTTGTTTGCCATCTTCTCCATTATGGTTTGATCCAAACAAGTCCCCCGAGGGCTCCATACCAGTAGGAGGGGAGGGGGAAAACCTTTCCTTTGTCCATTTTGTCTTCACTTTTGTGGGCTTACAGACTTGCTTACTTGCTTCATCTTAAAAGTGGAGTGGGGTTGAGAGGGTGACTCTAAGGTTTGTGGAACAGAACCCAGACAGGCACATCTGCTCCCGCTCAGAACTGTTGGTAGCAGCTTCCTGCCTCTCAGATGGTTTATACCCAGTGGGCAACTGAAGGCCTTTGACCTTTCACAGCACCCTCGTTATTTTTTGAGCAAGTGAGGATAAAAAACTATAACAAGCATTTGATATAAAATTGGAAAAGCTTTTAAACTGGTTATGAAATGGCCAAACCTATTCAATGCATCTACCATCCAGAAAGATGATAACTCTGGCCAAGAGTAGCAGAAAAGATTCAGAAGCAAAAATAAAACCTACTATGATTTATATTAGCCTTGGGGAGGATGTGTTTTCTGATGATGAAGTCTTAGCTGAAAACATTTTTGCCACTTCCCTTTAGGAATGGCTTTCAGAGGATGGATATATATATACCTACACACACAGTACCAGAAGATTGACCTCATTCCTTATATGGTCATAATTTGTGCTTCACCCCAGATGGTAAAATCCAGCTTTATTCAGCCTCCTTGCTCACCAGACTGGGTTGATTTTTCAAATCAAATGTATCCTCAGAAGAGGTCAATAATAATGTTAGTCGCTCAGTCGTGTCCGACTCTTTGTGACCCCAATGTCTGTAGCCTGCCAGGCTCCTCCATAGAGTTCTCCAGGCAAGAATACCAGAGTGGGTTGCCATTCCCTTCTCCAGGGGATCTTACCAGCCTGGGTCTCCTGCATTGTAGGCAGATTCTTTTACCATCTGAGCCTCCAGGGCGGCCCCAGGAGGTCAAGAGGAGATGAAGTTGCTACCAATCAGGATATTTGAAAGGATGCAATTCCCAGATGGTTGGGAAGTGGCTAGAGGAAGGATGGGGAGGTGGGGGTGGGAGGTGGACTCAACAATGGCCTCCTTAGAATAAGTGCCTGCCCTAATATGGTGAGTGCAGTCTCCAGGGGGTGTTTGTTCAGGCTGAGACATCCCTCATGGCCCCTCACTATGACAAAAATTTTGAAGCGCAGATCAAATCATTTTAACATTTAGGGGCATCAGTCCTTAATATCTGACTTTTCGATACCTTTAGAGGGTAAGTAGTAGCAGATTTAGCCATGATTATGTGCTTCACCCCAGATGTTTGGCTTGGGGTGACAGTAGTGAACATAAGTTTATATTCACTGAACATGCACCAACTAGACCAAGGCTGGGGGTTATTTGATGCCCCCCTCTTCCAGGCCCCCAGAACTTACTGATGTGCACACTAGTGCACGAGAAATCCGGTCATTTGGCAAGCTGCTGTTGGCGTGAAGGTGATTGGTTTTCAGTTTTAAATCATTTTCTGACACTGGAGACAACTCTTCAGATTACATCCTTGCCTTGCTTGAAGCTGGAACACAAACAGGCCTCCATCGTTAACAGCACAGTTAGGTATCTTCCCAGAACCAAGGACAAGGCTCAGAGCTTCCATGTGTAGCCTGGGAAGCAGAATCCGTGCCCCTGGGGGCTCCGGGCCCTGGACACTGTTCCTTTCTGTTCAGTGACTGCTCCCCTGTTCTGTGGCCTCCTGGGGGCACAGCTGCTCTGTGCCAGCCTGGCTCCCATGCGATTATCATCTCCCCTCCAGTAGCTGCGGCAGTCCAATTTGCAAAAAGACATCAGTGACAAGGACAGCTAAATAAGCCAAGCAAAGATGGCACTAAAGCAGACCTAGGTTCTCAAAGTCCAGTTTTCTTTGGGTCTGGGCATGGCTGGATCACTGGCTGAAGCCTGGGAAATTGTGGGTTTAGTTGTACAGAGAGAGGGGCAACCACACACAGCTGTGCTCTGGGTTCACAGGAACAGTGGGAACAGAAAAATCCTGTAAGGTGCCTGCTGGTGCTCTTAGGCCCTGACTTAGGCCTCCTGTGGTGTCAGGAGGTCTTCAGAAGGACCCAAAGAGGGAGCATCTCCAGTGAAGCCTGATAAATGAGAACCATCATCGCCCCCCCACCCCCAGCACACTCACAGTGTATCCCTGCCCCGCTGTGCGGTGACTGCCTTCTGTCCTATAGCTCTGGTGGCCCTGCTTCACCTGAGGAATAAACATGACCACAGAGGTTTCTAACCAGATGCACCTGAAGTTCAGATCACTGGATGGTTTCAGTTTCCAAATCACTGAATCTCTGACAGCAAGGAGTTCATTCAGATGAAGTTCAATACTAGTAAATGATACCAGTGAACAATACACATAGACCCCCCTTACAACAAAGATACTGTAGTCTCTTGTGCTGCTTCTCTTTTAAGATAGACTTAGTGCCCCCCCCAAAAAAAGATTTAGTCCAATGAAATGGGTTGTAATTAGAGATGTGAAACATTTAGATTTTTTGTTCCTCTGTCCTTTTGCTTTACAACTCATGAAAATTTTTTTAAAAATGAAAATTTCATTACTTCTAGGGTTCTTGATTATCTAAGACTTTGGGGCTGGGATGTGGGACAAAAACGGTAAGGCTGAAATAACAGAATCCTAAATAGGATTGCTGTTCTCTGCCGAACAAAGCAATGAGTGATGCCAGCTAATGTGCTTTAGAACGTAAAGTTGTCGCTTCATTATCCAAACAATCCCCAGACTTCGCTGCAGGGATGTGGCCTGGAAACACTTTCAGGAAGTCTTCTGGTCCAGCTCCTCACAATGACATCGTTGCAGAATTCCTTAACGTGGCTTCCAGCCTGACCACAGCTAGTTTCCCCATTCCACCCTACCCCTGCAATAGTGCCCATGTTTTGAAATTATTTTGCCTGCACAGTTATTGGGCTTCTCCTCACTTTAGCTCAAAAACATAACCACATATAAATTACACTTCAATTTTTAAAGAACAAAAAGCATAACTGCTCATCTTTGCTGACAAGTACTACCAGATCACACAAGGATAAGTGTGAGGAATTCCTGGTAGCCCCTTCCTTACAGGAAGATTTGAGTCTGGGGTCTGTGGGAGTACAGGGGAGTTACAAGACACAAGCTGCTAAATATTAGGAGTAGTATAGCTAAGGTTTCCTCCCAGTAGCTGGTTAGGGAGAGTCAAATGGAAGGGAAACAACCCATCTAGAAACAGGATACCTGGATTGGGAGACCATGCCTGATGCACTTACAGATCATGAGGGGATCTCAGGCATCATTTGGTGCAAACCCTTTTGTCCCACCATCATAAAAAAAAAAAAAAAACAAACTCACCCATAAAAAACTCATCATAAAAAAAAACTCACCCAAGGTTACAGAGCCGGCATGAAGAGGGGTACTTCCTGAGCACCTACTCACTACTCCCAGGGATCGAACCCACATCTTCCGCATTGTAGGCAGACGCTTTACCATCTGAACCACCAAGGAAGTCTTCACTAGGCATAAAGGTTGTCAGATACGGCCATTGCAGTTAATACACTCACCATGGAGGGGGCGCCAGCGTTCTCTCTTGTATGCAACAGCCTGATTTTCAAACATTCCATCTGAGACTGTTATGCCCGATGTCTGAATCCCCGAGCTGACTCGGATGCTCCTGCCGCATCCAACGCAGTGGTGTGGGGTCAGAGAGCCCTGACTCGAGTCAGCAATAAACTTCCCTTTTTGCGAGTTGCATTGTCTTGGAGGCCTTCTCTCTTCCCGCTCGGGGATTCAGACATCGGGCATAACAAGTCCAGCTTAGAAATTCGACTTTAAAAAGTTCCTGCCACTTATTGAGCACTCCTGCACGTCAGACACGCTAGCAGCTGTACATAGTTATTCAAGTTTTCCGAAATCCTCAAAGCACTCTTTACACACGAAGAAGATAGACATGGACTCTCTTAGGTTTTTTTTTTTTTCTTCTAATATGAAGCATTTAAAAACTCTTAATTGAATGTGTTACAATATATTGTTTCTGTTTTGTTCCGGCTTTTTGGCCGCGAGGCATGTGGGATCTTAGCTCCCTGAGCAGGGATCGAACCTGCACCCCATAAGTTGGAAGATGAAGTGCTAACCACTGGACAGCCAGCCTTGGAATTCCTCAGCCCAAGGGTTTTAAATAGCTTGCTTAGCACAGAACTAGTACAGGCAGAACCAGGATTCAAATCTGACTCCAGAATCTGAACATTTATTATAGCCCACCCCCGCCACTCCCAAAGAGTGGAAACCTAGGAGCTGGAAACCCCGCACAACCTGGGTCTAGGTCCCACTCCAAGATGAAGTCTTTCAACTTCTCTTCAGAAGCTGGGGAGAATCCTTGGTTCCAAATTCTCCAATTGAGACACGCTGAGAGAAGGTCCACTGGGGAATATGGCTCACTATGGACAGTCACAAGTCCAAAGAAGGGGACAACTGGAAGAGACCCCCTCCCGGAGCCTCACTCTCCGCCCTCCAAGTTCCCCTGGAGACACATGAAACCTCCTCGACGTGGTTCAGGACCCCCAGCTCTTTCACTGCACCTGTTTGGACCGAGGAGCCCGGAACCCCTACAGCCCGGGACACGAGCCCCGCCTGCTACGCTCAACAGGGGCGGAGCCCCGAGCGACCCCACCCCCGAGGGCGGAGCCTCGCCCTACGCGTCCGCGTCCCCCGCCCCGCCTCCTACGCTCACCAGGGGGCGGAGTCCCGAGCGACCCCCATCCGAGGGTGGAGCGTCGCCTCACGCGTCCGCGTCGCCCACCTCGCAACTGCCTCTCCCCGCGGCTGCGTGCGGGCCTTTGGGGTACCGGGTTCTACGGGCCCAGAGCCGGTGAGTCCAGCCGCGAGCCCCACCAGCGGCGTCGCACGCCCTGCGCGGGTGAGGGCTGGAAGTCGCGTCCTCGGCGGTAGCGCCCCCCCACGCCCAGTTGGAAATGCAGGGCTTTCCCAGCTTTACCCTCACTCATCACCTGTGAGCCGCGTGAACACTCCGTTACCGAACATTTTAGAAGCATCCCTCATGAAAACCTGTACCCGGGTCCAATTTTTCTTTCTTTTCGGCTGTTTACCACTTTTTAACCCACAGCCTACCGCCCCGCCCAACCCCCCAGGCTCCTGCAGTGACCGTCTGCCCCCTCTCTGCACCCTCCGCCTCCACATCACCCGGAGGAGGCGTTGGGAAAAGCAGCCATTTTAGACTTCTGGGGAGTCGGGGAGGAGTGGGGAAGGGGGGTCGGTCTGCAGAGGAAAGGGGACGCCGGCGACGCCCCCTCCTCTCTTCTTTTCTTTGTGGTCCGCTAGCCAGCCCCTTAACCAGCGTCGCGCGGTTCGCCGTTCGGGGGAGGGGCTCGAGGGTGGGCAGGGTATCCCCTTGGAACCGGCGTCCCTTTGGCTTCTAGTCTCTTAAGCCTGTAACTGAGGCAGCTCGTGGCCCAGCTTTCCATCTCCATAAGTAAACCTAAAAAAACACATGCCCTTCTGTCGAAAGATCTTAAGGATCAGGTGCATTTCAGACGGAAGCTTTTCCAGAAGCTTCCTCTGTGGGAGAGGACCAGGGCGCAGAGCTGGCAGAAGTTCAGGTTGACTTAACTGCGGCGGCTGGTCTCCCTGCAGTCGCCCAGTTTTGTCAGGATACTCTGTAGAGTGTCTTGAAGGTCTGGTTAAGGGCAACCACACTACATTTTAGTGAGTCTAAAGCACCATCAAAATAAAAATACATATTAATGTTATGGAATGTGTTGCTAATTAAACAGTGAGAAAACATGGATTGTAAGAGACCCCTCCATTTCTGAGATTTTCAAATTGTTTTCAGGATTACTGAAATGCAGTAGCTACCACCATGCCAGGAAGCTGCTTAGTTCCTTGGGTTTTCGTCATCATTTGTAGGCTTCTGCAGTTGAGGAAATCGGTGGATAAGAAATATAAGCGTGGGGTGCTGAGCACTTAAAACTCAAACGTGAATTCCCCCCACACAAGACCCCAGTGGACTGCGATGACTTGGGGCAGGAAGAGATGGGTGTCCCAGGTGACCTACATCAGGGTTAAAATGAAACCCTAGCAGTTTCTCAGTTATCAGGGGTAATTTTCTCTAGTTAAGCTGGATGTGGCTTCTCCCTGATCTGACCTGACATGACCCCGTGGCTTGTCATGGTCCTGAGCTCTGCGTGGTTGTTGCTTACAGAGTGCTCCTGCTAACAGGATGGTCCTGGCAGGCTAAATCAGCATCTGTGTCCCTTACAGCTTTCTCTGTCCCAACCATCTCTCCACTGAAAGAGGGGAGATAAAGTACCAGCAGTGGGCTGGGATGATTTGGGAAGGCAGGCAGAGGAGGACAGAGAAAGCATGGAGATGAGTTAGGGCCGCAGTCCAGGGAAAAAGTTAACAAGGGCTGGCTCCTGTTCAGGCTGCAGGGTCACAGCGGAGGGTGCTTGTGGTGTGATGCCTGGCATGTTGTTGGTGCTGCTTGGAGAAAGGTGAGGGTCTGGATGAGGCAACCATCCTTGGGAAACTGGCTTACATGCTGCTGCAGCTGGACTTCCTTTTTTAAAAATTTTGGGGGGCATTTTATTTATTTTTATTATTTTTTTGGCTGTGCTGGGTCCTTGCTCTGCATGGGCTTTCTCTGTTTGCAGTGAGCCCGGGCTTCTCTTGTTACAGAGCACAGGCTCTAGGCACTCATACATTAGTAGTTGCAACACTCAGGCTCAGTAGTTGTGATTCACGAGATTAGTTGCTTCGTGGCATATGGGATCCTCCCAGACCAGGGATCGAACCCATGCCCCCTGTATTGGCAGGGGGATTCTTATCCACTGCACCACCAGGGAATTCCTGGTGTTTCTCTTTGAACTGACCACCTCCCTCCCCAACCACATTCCCTTTTTGGCTGTATATGCTCTTAAAGTTGATGGCAAAAACAGTGGCTATTTGAAAGTTTGGAACCCACCAGAAATGCTGGAGAAACCAGCTAAGTCAGAAGCCTCTTTCCCTGTTTCTGCCTACAGGGATGCCAGAGGGGCCGTCTGTGAGGAAGTTTCACCATCTGGTCTCCCCCTTTGTGGGGCAGCAGGTGGTCAAGACAGGAGGCAGCAGCAAGAAGCTAAACCCCACGAGCTTCCAGTCCCTCTGGCTGCAGGACACCCAGGTGAGTTCACCAACTTCCAGCAGGTTCCTTCCACACCTCACCCCAGTGGGCCAGCTCCATCAACACAGCCTGTCTGTCCCCTCGGTTTCTCTCAAGACTTTCTCTGCTGTTAGCCCCTTGTCCCTGAGGGTAGCCATGCTGAGAATCCATGCAACTTCTCCTCTGACGTTTCTCAGCCTCAGGTCAGCAGCACAGTGGCCCGTGGAACTGTGCATGAGCTGGATATTCACATTCAAGATCTGAAGTGATTCTGGTGACTCTAGCTGCGTCCATTGTGCACCTTTGGTTGGGAACAGTATTTAATTCTCTGAGGCCAGCAGGGAGGTGAGGAAAGAGCATTGTCTTTAAAAACATTTTTTTAATTTACTTTTTCATTGGTGGAAAATTGAGCATAGCCTTTTGTTCTGGGTTTCAGCCTGGCTCGTCTTTGCCCTGAACGTCAGTCAGTATTCCCTAAAGGGCTCACATAGCCGCTTGCCAGTCTGATTCATGCCTCCCGCTCTGGCCTGCAGCTCCCCCTGCCCTGAATCTCTCCGCAGTCCTGTTGAACTGTTTGGAGCTCCTCTCACAGCCCCTCTTGCTCATGGTTTGACATGCTGATCTTCCTTTTTCTCCCTTCTCCACCCCTATTCCTGTACCTTCATGTTACCGTGATAATTCCTAGTCTCCTTTGGATTCAGCCTTGCCATCACATCCTTTGAGAAGCCTGTTCTGCCTGCGCTGGGCTTGGGGACAGACCCAGCTCTGCTTCCAGGACACCTTATATGTCCTCCTATTGGCCCCTCATTCCTGAATTTGTCCTGCCTTTTGATTGGAGGAGACAAATAAACAGGACAGGGGCTGTGATCTCAGCATTATTGTATTCCTGGCACTTAACTTGAGTGTCTGGTACTTAGGAGACTTATAGTAATTGGTGGTCGAGAAATTAACGAGCTCTGCTACTGCTTAGCTGTGTGCTCCTAAGCAAGTTACTCAACCTCTCAGCTCTAGTGTCTGCTTGAGTTGTAAAATGGGGTAAACCACCTACCAGTTAAAATTGAATTAAGTAGACTTTATACCTGGCACATAATAGGCACTCAGTAAATACTAGTTCTCTGTCTTCCACCGTGCCCTTGTATCTCTCTTTCCTTTCTGTCTCACACATACATCCCAGGCTATAAAACCTCAGTTAGAACTGAAAGATGTCTGTGAGAGGTCTGCTGGACCTTCACATGTGTTTTCTGCATTTGAAGGAGGGGCTCAGGGAAGGGAGAGTGGTTAGCCCAAGCTGACGTAGGGTGGCATGGGGCAGAGACTGGAGCCCACGCCCTCTGACCTCCAGGTCTGCACAAGGGCACCCGCACTCTTTGTCCACACTGTCCTGCAAAGTTTGCAGGACACAGGATTAATGTCCCTTTGTCTCTGGATCCCAGAGGCCTGCTGCATCTTAGCACCTGCTGTCACAGAGCTGGCTTGTAGAAAATAATTTTTTATAACAGACTCAGAAGGCTGGCTAATCCATGAAAAAATTGGAAGCCATTCCTCCTGGGCATTCTAGAGTGGCCCTGCATCCAGCGTGCATCTCTTTCACTGCTGATATGATTGTTCCACTTGCTTCTAATCATTTTGAAAACTGTATACTAAGTGCTCATATGACTGGAGCAAAAAGCAAAAGGCAAGTTCCGAATACTCAAGTTGGGAAAGCTTCATAGAAGAGGCAGGAGGGGAGACATTTATATTAGGATAAATGGCTGGATGCACCTCTGCCAGTCTTCGCCTTTCTGGGTCTAAAAGGCTCAGTCTTTGTGGACTGCAGTTGCAGAACACCTCACACTAGTTGGCTTATAAGCAACAGAAATTTCTCACAGTCTGGAGCATGGGAAGTCCAAGGTCAAGGTGCCAGCTGATTCAGTGTCTAGTGAGGACCAACTTCCTGGTTTGTAGACCACTGTCTTCTTGCTGTGTCCTCATGTGGAGGAAGGGTGGGGAGCCCTCTGCAGTCTCTTTTATAAGGGCACTAATCCCATGTATGAGGGCTCCATCCCCATGACCTGATCACCTCCTGAAGGCTCCGCCTCCAGACACCATCATATTGAGGGTAGATTTCAACATATGAATTTTGGGAAGACACAAGTAATTCTATACCAAGCCTTAGATCATGTTAATCTTTTTCTAGGTCCATGGAAAGAAATTATTCCTTAGATTTGATCCAGATGAAGAAACTGTGTCCCTGGGCAATTCCCCACTGTCAGAGCCTCTACGAAAAGGAGAGCAGAAGGACAAGGCCAGGCACCACCAGGAAGCCTCTGACCAGTCCTCCCGGTCCCCTGGAGGAGACAGCGCTGTCCCCAGTGGAGACGATGGTCTGCAGTGTTTGGCAGGAGACAGTCCTGCAGGAGGGGCTGAGAGGTGGCTGCAGGTCCGCTTTGGTTTGTTTGGCAGCATTTGGGTGAACGAGTTCTCCAGAGCGAAGAAGGCAAACAAGAGGGGCGACTGGAGGGACCCTATTCCCAGGTGAGGCATGATCGAGTAGGCCATGGGCTGTGACTCTCTGCGGCTGTGCAGGGTCTAGCGGTTTGCCTGGGCCAGACTCTGCAGGCACGCTTGGTGGTCTCAACCTGTGCTCTGGTAGCCTACTTCTCGGAGAGAGAACCCACTACCCTGGCCACCGTGATGGCAGGGAGACTGTGGCCTACACCAGGAGAGGGGTGGGAACCACCTGGTAGCTTGGAGAGCGGGGATAATTTCCCCAACGAACGTGGCCCGAGTTTTATCTACTTTCTTTGAGTGTTTGGGTCATTAAGTTTTCAATTGGATTATGATCAGGACAACAGCCTGTACGTTTTCTACTTTTGGCATCAAAGTTTGCAGCCAAACACATAATTGATCTTTGCTTACATTTTATATACATAAATGAAGATAAAATGTTCATCAAAAGTAAAACATTCTGATAAAAACCAACCAACCAAAAAAAGTAAAACACTCTGTAAATGTTAAGAACAGGTAGTTGTTTTGATCGCTCAGATTTTCTCCATTCTTGCTTATTTTTTGTTTATTTAATATGCCAAACTTGGGAAGAGGAGCATTGAGATGCCCCACAGTAGTTGTGTTTTTATAGCTTCTCTTTGTCTCTCTAAGCACTTTAGTGGCTTTGTTTTGCTGCCCTGGGTCGCGGGCATCAGGGTCCCTGACTCACAGTTTCGTTGCAGCTACATTATTAAATAATCCTATGCCCTCTGTCTGCCTTTAGACCTAATTCTGTTTCTCTGGATATTAACAGTGCTGTTCCATGTTTGGTTGGCTCACTTCATGGACTTTTTTTCCACTTGGTTATAGGTTCATTTTTTTTTTTTTTCCACTTATTTTAGGTATGTTTGTTATCAACAGTGAATAGCAGGCTTCTGTATCTCTTTAAACTCAAACTGAAGCTCCTTGTTTTGAAATTGGGTAACTAGGCTATTTGTATTTTCTTTCATTTGCAGTCTTATTGTCGCTTGTTCTCTTCTGTTGGACTTAATCAGGATTTATCACGTTTCTTTTCTTCCTTTTTTTTTCAAACCCCTGTTAATTTGGAAGTACTGCTATTCATCTTCATCCTGTTGGTAATAATCTTATCTTTAAATGATATCTATCCCCCCCCAGGTTAATAACTATCAATTTTTTGATAGCATTAAATTAATAATCTTCTCCTGTATTATTAACACTGGTGTTTCACTCACTCTTCTGCCACCCTCCCTCCAAGCTGAGACTTTTAAAATAGTAGTATTTCTACTTCTATACTTTTCTGTCACTTCTACCCCATCTTCTGTGTCTGCTGAGCTAGTTTAGAATTTTAGTTCCAGATTGCTAATTAACTAAATTGTTAGTTATGTATAATTAAATTAAGTGGTATTAAAAACATATGAAGGGTGTCCTTTGTTAGGAGCTTGCTTCCCTCATACTTGGTTTACATTCTCAGGAGCTCTGCTATGACTGTAGACCTCAGATTGCACAGTGGAGTCACAGGGTCCTGTGCTGACCTCTTCATCCGTCCTTTCCATCTTCCCCCCACCTTGAGATCCTGCTGCTTTCATTCCCATTTGGGATGTATTTTTCCTTGAGTAGTCACCTCAGATGCCATGCAGAGGTGTTTTTCTGAGTCCTGTTCCTCTCAGATTGCCCCTTAACTTTCACATAAGGTGCATGAGTCTTGGAGTCCAGCTGCAGCCTCTCTCCCCTCACAGAGTGACCCCCTGTCACTTATCGGGGTTCATGGAGGTTTCTTCTCTGTGTCTGCGGTTCAGGAAGCCCAGGGGAGCGAGTGTGATCTTGCCCAGGATGGGAGAGGTGTCTCCTTAGCATTGGCTCTCTGCCCTCCTTCCTAACAAGCCCTGCTTTGTGCCATAGCCACACCTCCTGAACTTGAGACTCTTCTGTATGTCCCAAGTTGTCTTCTATGTATTGTTATGATCAGGAAAAAGGAGAGTATATATGTTTTCTTTGAATTAATCCATTTGGCGGTGAGAGTTTGACAGTTGTGGCAGAGCCGTCCCGTTTCTCCTCTGGGACCTGAGCTTCTGCAGGTTTGTCCTGCGTGGAGTGGGAGCCGTGTGTGCACGTAGGACCAGATGCCCCTGGCATAACCCTGAGGACTGTGGCCTCTCCTCTCTTCCCAGGCTAGTCCTACATTTCAGCGGGAGTGGCTTCCTGGCCTTCTATAACTGTCAGATGACATGGCGCATCTCTTCGCCTGTGTTCAGTCCCGCCTCTGACATCTTGTCAGAAAAGTTTCACCGAGGACAGGCCCTGGAGGCTCTGGGCCGGGAGCAGCCCGTCTGCTATACACTGTTGGACCAGCGATACTTCTCAGGCTTAGGTACGGCTGATGGCAGAGGGTGGTCCCCGTGACGGACCTAGTGAGAAGGTCCCTTGTCTGGGAGGTGGGACACTGGGACCCACCGCAGGTGTCAGGGCTCCTGGGCTCTACTTCCCTCTTTTTTTCTTTTTGCCTTGTGGCATGTGGGGCCTTAGTTCTCCGACCAGGGATTAAAGACAAACCATGCCCCCTGCATTGGAAGCGCAGCGTCTTAACCACTGGACCACCACAGAAAGTCCCTTCCCTGTTTTTAAAATGAGGGAGTTGATCAGGCATTTCTGACCTCTCTCCTACCGTGATTATATTGTTAGTCATAGTTGGCCTGACAGCCTCCTGGAGTGTGACCATCTAGAGAGCAGGGGTCACATCCCGCCATCCTTTTTTTTTTTTTAATTGTAGTATATAGTAGGATCATGGCAGATCCTGCACCCAGAGGAGCACAGGCTTCTAGGAGCAGCCTTTGGGGTAAATTAGCAAGAGAAATGCTCTATAACTAGCTGCTATTACGGACAGTAATCATAACAGCTGACGTTTTTCAGATGACTGACTCCACCTTGCCAGGCACACGGTTCCATCCTCACTGCTCTTCTGCAGGATGGCCACTTACCAGTTTTTTCTTCATTCAGATGAAAAAATTGAAGCAAAAGACCCTTTGCTCTAAGGGCACAGCTGAGATATGAATCAGGTAGTCCACCAGTGAATTAGAGAGAAATTTTGTCTGAAGTGATTGGAAAGAGCAGTCTTTTCACCCATCCATTGCTCCACACTTACTAAAGGCTTGCCTGCCACCAAACCCACTTTCTCTCCTGGAGGAGAGTGTTAATAACCCAGCAGACTTGGACTCAACTTCCTGGAACTTAAGATAGACTGTGATAAATGCCTAGTGGAGGTTAAAGAAAATGCACTGTTGGGACATTTTGAAGAAACTTATTGATTCTGAAAGGAGAGGTCAAGGTTGACTTCACAGCAAATGAGACAGGAGTAGAAGAATAATAAAATAACACCTTCTCATCAAACCAGTATTGTAAAGCAATCGATTAAAAATAAGTAAATATTTTAAAAAATTAAAATGCAAAAAATAACACCTTCTGAACACTTTCTATATTTCAGGCATTAAGCTTGACATTTTAAATAATAATAGCAGCTAGTATTTATTATTACTCTCCACATACCAGCATAGTGCTCAACATTTGTATGTATGTGTGAGAATTCTCATTTACTGCCCACGAAAACCAGGTAACTCACCCCCGTTTTAGAGAGAAGGAGACAGAAGCTGAAGGATGGCAGGAAACTCACTAGGGTCAGGTAGCTGGGTCTGGTTGGGCCAGGATTCACAGGCAGGCACTCAGATCCAAGCCCCTTTTGTTAATCTCTTTGCTATTACGTGGACCACGTGTGAGTTTTATGTCATTTCATCTTTACAACCACCTCTGGGGTGTGTGCATGCTAAGTCGCCTCAGCTGTGTCCAACTCTGCAACTCTACGGACTGTAATCCACCGGACAGGTAAGTGTTAGCAAATCCTTCGCAGATGGGGTGACCGACTCAGTGCAGTGACTCCCTTGAGATTCCAAGGACGCATGGTTGCTCCTGAGGTGCCCCTACGCTAGCTTTGCTCTGTTGTATTAATTTTGTGGCCAGCTTTTCTTATGGACTTTTGCCTTCCCTCGTCCCCTCCCCCCCTTCTAGGGAACATCATCAAGAACGAGGCCCTGTTCAGAGCCGGGATCCACCCGCTTTCTCCAGGCTCCCTGCTGGGTCTTCCGCGCCTTGAGGCCCTGGTGGACCATGTGGCGGCCTTCAGTGCGGACTGGCTGCTGGGCAAATTCCAAGGCACACAGCAGCACACGCAGATCTACCAGAAGGAGCAGTGCCCTTCTGGGCACCCGGTGGTGAGAGAGGCCCTGGGGCCCCCCGGGGGCTTCCAGAGGCTCACGTGGTGGTGCCCCCAGTGCCAGCCCAGGCTGTCAGCGGGTGAGCCCAAGCAGGTGCAGCCCTCCTAGAGCATCCAGCCTCCTCCTACATGGAGCTTTGCCCTGAAAGGACTGTGATGCCTGAGCATTGCAGACAGAGGTGTGGGCAGAGGTTGGGACTGGGCACAGGAATTGGGTGGTTGGGATGCGAGTACTGTTGATGTCCATCTCACTGGAGTTCAGTCTAAGGCAGTTTTCACGGAGTTCGATTTTGTTTTCTGCTGGTTTTGGTTAATTCTTCCTATTTGATCCCCATTGTGAAAGATGAGACAAGTCACAATGGCACTTTAGGGGAGACCTCCCAAAATGACAGTGTGGCAGAGAAAGTGAGAGCCAGTAGGAGACAGCCCGGCTCAGCACTGCTTTGCAGATGTTTTATTTGGTTTGGTTTTGGTTTTGAAACACTGGCTGGAGTTAAGATCCTCCATTTCAGAACCAGGAAAAGGGAATTATTGTCTTCCTTTTTACCCCAAGAGGGATCCAGGGCTGAGGAGGAAGTAACAGGAGAGCAGTGCTCAAATTTAGCCTCCCGATTGGACCCTTCCTGTGGGACAGAGACCCCAGGAGGTGAGAGACAGGATCAGGGAGCTGGCCACCTTCTTGGTGTGTCCAGTGGGCTATAGAAAAAAACCAAAACAAACCTGCTTGTTTCCTCCTCAAGGCGATGTATTTGTGACTGTTGACAGGCTCACCAGTACAGGGATCAGAGTTGTTAGCGAAACCTCGAAGAAACCAGGACACGAAAATAAAGCTGTTCATTACTTTGTGCTGTCATCTTTATCTGGCAGGAAAGATTCTTTCACCATACGTAACTGAGCTCTTTGTGAGCCCACCGTGTGAGACGTGTTGAGTTGGCCAGATGGGTCTACTTACAAGGAGCGGGGCTGGGAGGAGGGCAGCCATGCACTCTTCACTCTTGCCTGTCTGAAGTTGTTGAGTTGCCCTCGGTGGGGTGGGGAAAGCCACCTGATGGCAGGCATTGGCTGGGGGCCAAGGTGGTACCCACACAGGCCATTTCCTGTAAGTCAGTGTCTGTGAGGGGCTGGAGTACAAGAAGGGCTGGGCTGGGCAGACATCACAGCCTGCATGTGAGTAGACACTCAGTGAGATTAATAGAAAAGGGAAAATGCTGTTGGCATTTGTTGAGAAAAGAAGCCACAGAACTAGAAACAGCAGTGGAAGTGGAAAGGAGGAGAGATGGGAGGGTCACCATGGTGATGGATGTCAGCTGACTGGACATGGAAACAAGGTTGGAGACGAGCTGAGGATGGCTCAGGCCTGGCAGCTGAGAGCTAGAGGAAGCCACCCCCACCTTGCCCTTGAGATAGAAAGTCAGGGGAACTGAGCAGGTTCCATGAGGAGACAGACCTTGTGTGCTGAGCTTGGGGGTACCTGTACCTAAGCAGGGGGACAACAGCCAGGAAGCTCCCTGCTAGTGCAGGCTTGCAGACATGGATTTGGGAGCTTTCCTTAGAGCTGAGGGTCAGTTCGAGAAGGTTAACAAGGGTACTTGTCCAGCATGAGAAGGATGGAGGTCACAGGAGAGCCTTAAGATCTTTTGCATAAGAAGCAAGAGATGACAGAAGCCAGCTGGAGATCAGATGGAACAGGAGGAGAGAACTGTGGGGGCAGCCAGTGGCGCACACGCTAGAGAAGAGGCCTCTGAATTTGACAGTAGGGCAAATTTGAGGTCATGACCTTCAAGAGCCAATTGTGCAGAATGGCAGCCAGTCTGTAGGGGCTGAGGACTGGGTGGGAGCCCAGTTGGAGCCCAGTGAGCCGTGAGGGAGCCCCGCTCTTCAAGAAGGTGATCCTTGAAGGGAATGAGAAAGAGGGTCACAGGCGGAAATGATGTGAGGATGTGTGTATGATCAGGTGAGGGGGAAAACGGGAGGAAGAGAAATACCAGTGCCAGCATGTAGAGAAGCCTGGGCTTGAGTAGGAAAAGAGAAATAGACACAGAGAAAATCATCTGGAGGTGAGGTCTTTTGAGGCACAGAGTAGGAGTTAGGGAGCTTTTGTAACAGCTGTGAGCGGAAGTTAGAGCTCAAGGGAAGGTTGTAGAACCATGCTGGAGACCAGAGTAGTCGCTCCATTTCCCGACCTTGTCCAGCAGTCTCCAGTAGCTTAGGGTCAAAAAGAAGAGCTATGCTGGATGAACCCACAGTGGAAGGTTGTCAGGGTATGAATGGTAGAAAGACAAGAGGGCAGAGGAGATTCCTTATTTTATCATTTAAGTTGTTAAAATTCAAGCCATATAAAAGTTTATAGAGCAGAACATGGGAGAAGAATCCTCAGTCTACTCTGTCCTCTCAGGAACTGACATCATTTCTCTGACTTCAGTCTGTAATGAGGAAAATAGTAGCACCTAGTTGTGAAGGTTGATGACTACATTGTCAGTTCTGCAGCAGAACTGCATGGACTGGGTTCCACGTGGAGGTGACAGGGAAGCAGAAACATGAAAGAAACAGAAGCGCAGAAAATGTGGCTGCCATGCCCTCTCTGAGATATCATTCATCCTCCATCCGGCACCATCATCATTAGGCATCCGGCAGGAGGTTCTTGGCCGAAAGTCTGAGGTTAGTTCTGCGAGGAGGAAAGGAAGAGCCAGTAGAGGCAGGCTGAATGAGGATGAGAGAAGATGGTGTTACAGAACCTGCAGGGCTAGGGTGGGGTGAACAGTGGGAATGACTCCTGTGGCCTGTTTGCCTGTTGGATGGGAGGAAAGGCTTTGCTTGACAGGCTGCAGGTGAGGGGTGGGGAGTCCAGGTTTCACTTAGAAGTAAGAGGTGAGATATTTGGACTCCGTAGGTGTTAGAGAAAAGATTTACTTAAGAGCTGGAGTTTCATGATGCTTGACATTGTAAAAATCTTGGAATTTAAATGTGAGGCTTCAGTGGCCTTCAGTTCAATTCAGTGACTCAGTCGTGTCTGACTCTTTGTGACCCCATGGACTGCAGCACACCAGGCTTCCCTGTCCATCACCAACTCCTGGAGCTTGCTCAAACTCATGTTCTTTGAGTCCATGATGCCATCCAACCATCTCATCCTCTGTCGTCCCCTTCTCCTCCTGCCTTCAATCTCTCCCAGCATCACAGTCTTTTCCAGTGAGTCAGTTCTTCATATCAGGTGGCCAAGGTATTGGGAGTTTCAGCTTCAGCATCAGTCCTTCCAATGAATATTTATGACAGATTTGCTTTAGCATTGACTGGTTGGATCTCCTTGCAGTCCAAGGGACTCTCAAGAGTCTCTTCTCAGTGACCCTAGCCATTCAACAATTATTTCTTTTTTTAAAAAAAATTTTTTGGCAAGTGAATAGGATTTATTAAAGAGAAAGAAAGTACAAAGCTCTCAGCATGGACACTGAGGGTGGTAAAGAGTCCCCCCAAAGGTGGGGATTATAGCAGTTTTATATCTTTATTAGTATTAATTACATTTTTGGTTGCTTCCCTGGATCTGATTGCTGATAATTTATCAGACCAAAGACACATTGAAAAGCAATGACAACCATAGGCAGCATATTAAAAAGCAGAGAAATTACTACAAAGGTCCATATAGTCAAAGCTATGGTCTTTCCAATAGTCATGTACAGAAGTGAGAGCTAGACAATAAAAAAGGCCAAGTTCCGAAGAATTGATGCCTTTGAACTGTGGTGCTGGAGAAGACTCTTGAGAGTCTCTTGGACAGCTAGGAGATCAAACCAGTCAATCCTAAGGGAAATCAACCCTGAATATTTATTGGAAGGGCTGATGCTGAAGCTGAAGATCCAGTACTTTGGCCACCTGATGCAAAGAACCAACTCACTGAAAAAGACCCTGAAGGCAGGAGAAGGGAATGACAGAGGACAAGATGGTTGGATGGCATCACCAACTCAACAGACATGAGTTTGAACAAACTATGGGAGATGGTGAAGGACAGGGAGGCCTGGAGTGCTGCAGTCCATGGGGTCGTAAAGAGTCAGACACAACTGAATGACTGAACAACAACAAAAGGACGCATTCCAAGAACTCAGGACAGAGGGTAGAGCTTTAGGCTAATGGGGTGAGATGGTTATTGAAAACAAGACCAAGGTCTCAGAGTCCTACACTGACTGCCTTGCAGTTTCTACCTCAATCCCCACCTCTAGAGATGGAGACTCTAAATGCCATTATGGGGAAAGGCGCAATGACCAATATGGCTTCTCCAAGCTGTGTAGGGGCATCATGAAGGATGGCGGTTAACATCTTCACCAGTAGGATGATCTAGTGAACCTTGGTATGTCATCTTAGGCTTTATTTCCATAACCATTTGAAGCTTGATAGCTTCAACATGAGACATTACAAAGCGAGAGAGACAATTTAGAATGCAAGGGCCAAAAAACAATATGAGCAAAATAAGACTTCCATTCAGGACCAGGGGTTTCCACCAGGTGGAAGTTGATACCCCTTTCCATAAGGTGGTCCCAAAAGGAGGAGTGGAATCAGCCATTGCCTCAGCTTGACTTTTCAGATCATACATAGGTGTTGAAGGATCCCGGATGAGCCCCCAAAAGATGAAATGAAAATCCGAGTTCTTGTTCACAGAGCTGAAGAATGAACTTCATGAACACTCAGAAACTCATGATAGCAAGTGAATAGGATTTATTAAAGAGAAGGAAAGTACAAATCTCTCAGGATAGACACTGAGAAGGGATAAAGAGTTCCCAGTTATTATTTCGTAAATGCCTCCTAAATGCTAGGTCTGGAAATACAATGATAAACAAGACAAGAAAACATCTATGCTAGTAGGAGGAGGCCAGCTTGTTACAACAGAGTGTTGGAAGCATTTTAGTAGGTTACGAAAAAGTGCTTTATGTGTCAGGGTGGGGGCCAAGTGAGTGCCTGTCCGTGGTGTAAAAGTTCCAATACAGTCTCTTATTTCAAGCCTTGGTATTCGATAAAAAGTAGTGGAGACTTGTGATGTGGCTAGTACTGTGCCAGGTGCCCTGTTTAGACACAGTCCCTGACCCTGAGGGGTTCAAGGTGAGGTGAAGAGTCAGACAAAGGATACTTAGCATACAGAAAGTTCAGGATGAGAGTAACCAGTAAACATGATTGAAGTAATGAGGTCTGTGGAAATAGAAAAGTCCACTGGAATAAGAACAAGCAAATGAGGCTTTTTATTCAGAGCGTGCTATAGCAAGGGCCTCAGCCCCCATCACTGGCATGTGGCTAAAACTCAGGCAGGCAGGGAGTGGGAAGGCTTTATGGTCCAAAAAAAAAAAAAAAAACCCATCATTTTGCTCTGATGGGAGGAGGTTGGCAATGGGATGCTGGAAGCAAGCTAACTAGAAGTGGGGGTGTCTTATGTGACTGGTTTGGGGAATATATTTGGCTTTCTGTGGTTGGTCCTGAGTTGGAAGCAGGGACAAAAAATAGAGAAGTAGTTGATCAAGTCCTGACCATTCCAGGCTGACTGGTACAGAGGTTATGGGTAAGAATTCTTTTATTTGCTTTGGCCATTGTCCATTTGTCCATACTCAGTTTCTGGTTGGGCACCTGGATCAGACGGGGAACTGGATGAGGCTCCAGGTATGTCTCTAGTGAACAGCAATATCACCACGTCAGACACATCTGTCTCTTACTCTGGACTGGACTTCTGCCTCTCCCTCTTTGGGGTAGAACCTCATCCACCTTGTCATTATTCCCAGTGTCTCCCATGTTGTTGGTGTTCAATGGATGCTTGATAAATCTGAAGAACAGACAAAGGAGAGGCCAGGGAGCTTCAAAAAAGCTTCAAAAAAGGTTTCAGAGTAGTCCAGTGACTGAATAGGAGGCTGAAATTCAAGGGGAATTTAGGTGCCAAATGATGAGGGAATTTTTATTCTATGCCAGAATCCTCGATTTTTCTCTTGAAAACATTTCCTTTGTGGAATTTAAATTGAAAGAAGGGAATGTTTCCTACAGGATCCTTGTAACAGGGAAGCGAGGGAGTGCTAAAACTCTTAGCTTTGTGTTTTCTGGCCAAAAGCAGTATGCAAGTAGAGATATAAAGTTACAAGTTGACAGGAGTTTTTGTTACTCTTGTTCAGTCACTCTTGTGTCCGACTCTGTGACCCCATGGGCTGCAGCACGCCACGCTTCCCTGTTGTCCTTCACCATCTCCCGGAGTTTGCTCAAACTCATGTTCATTGAGTTGGTGATGCCATCCAACCATCTCATCCTCTGTCATCCCCTGTTCCTCCTGCCTTCAATCTTTCCCAGCATCAGGGTCTTTTCTAATGAGTTGGCTCTTTGCATCAGCTGGCCAACGTATTGGAACTTCAGCTTCAACATCAACCCTGCCAATGAATATTCAGGGTTGATTTCCTTTAGGACAAGAGTTTCAAGCAGGACCAAACATCAGGTAAGATGAAACTAAACTGTGGATACATGAGTTCTCTGTGAAAACTCCCTTCAGTTCGTTTTTCTGTGTTGCCAGACTAATTCATGGAACCAAAGTCTAAAAGCCCACAGGGTCTCACCTTAAGCTAATTAAAATCATAATACCTTATAAAATGAAATGGAAAGATGGTAGGCAAGAGAGTAATATAATCAAATATATGTTTTAGATACATTACCCAAACTGTCACATGGGATTGGATGGAGAGAGTGATATGGGAAACTGTCCTCAAAATAGTTGGAGAGAGAAGATGGGGCTTGAACCTTGATGGAGCAGAGATTAAGATAAGAGATGTGTGTTTCTTGGACTCCAGAGACTTGATGAATGACTGGGTGTAGGGAGAGCAAGGAGGACTTAGGGATGACTTGCGGATTTTGTAATTAGGCAACCGGGAGGCTGTTAGTGGAGAAGGAGGAGTTTCAACAGGCGAGAGATTCCAGTTAGGGGCAATGTTAAGTTTGCAGTGTTCAGGGGACATCAAAGAATTGCACTGTAAGACTTGAGGCTATGTTAGTGAACGAAACAAAGGTCTGTCATCGTTGAACTTACAGTTTAGCGAGGAGGAACAGACACTAAACATAAGTAAACGATATATTATATATCAGAATGTAATCAGTACTGAGATAGGCCGGGACCTGGACCCTTAACTGTAGTGCTTAGACCTGGACAGATGTCTCCCCAAGCAGCAGAATGCAGAGAGACTAGAAGGGACTAAACATAACTGCATGTTTGGGCAGTTTGGGCAAATTATGAACTGTTGTGGTCTGTGCATGGGTTGGAAAAGAATTTCCAGATAGGAGGCAGAATGAGAGGAGAATAAAGTTTATTAGAGTGGGAGATGCTGTTAGAACAGTGGGCTGGCTCAAGGGAGAACGGAACCCTTTGCAGGTTAGCAGCCAATTTTGATAGCCTCAAGACAGAAAATTCCTACCGGAATGGTGGCATTAGGTGATTGGTTAGGATGCTATAGGGTGGAGAGTAGGGTGGGCACTTTACGTAATGTGGGGTCAGAGATGCTGGTGTAGATCTGGAGGCTGAGGGCAACAGTTGCTATGGGGTTTGGTCACTTCCAGAGATTTTTATCCTGTGACCTTGGTACAGGGCTCCACATGAACAATAAGATACAATAAGACCAAAACCCAACTAGCACTTCTGAGGTGCCAGGAACAAAAGCAGGTACTACATGATCCTTGCACACAGCACCATCAGAAGGGTGAGCCAACCACCTAAGCCACGCCCTCCGCTTCCACTCACCACCCACCGATCTGCCCTCACCCCATTTAAGGAACAAGCTCGGCCCCCTACAGAGAATGAACTAGGGAACCTACTAATTGTTTTCTCCCCCTGGTGTCCCAGTAAAGCCTTGCCTGAGTTCCTGGTCTGGCCTCTTATCAATTTGTATTTAAAGAGTCCAAGGGAAAAACTAGAGCAGAATGGGGCATCAGCAGTGGTGGGGGAGGAATCGGGGCAAGCTGCCCTGTAAAACAGGGTGATCAGTGTAGGCCTAAATGAATTAGCAAAGACTTGAAGGAGTTAGCCAACTGCATATCTGGGGGTGGGAGGAAATACTGCAGGAAAAATGAACTGTAGACAACAGGAGGGAGGGGCAGAAAATAAAGGTGAGAGAGGTAATGAGGATGGGGCGCTACTCATACATAAAGCTTTTAGACTCTCATAGGAACTTTGGCTTTTATGAATGTAATGGAGAGACACTGCAGGTTTTTAGGCAGTGATCTGATCTGCCTTAACATTTTAAAAGGATAAGTGCTGTTAAAATAGATACGGGGGTTGGGGGCTGGGATAGCAAGTACCTTCTAGGGCTTTTGAGAGCACTTTCCATATCATCTTTGGATACGGTGTAGAGATTCTTAAAATCCTTTTCTGGGACTAAATTTAAATGTGCTCGGCAGCCTCAGGCTGATCCCACCCAGCTAGGTGCGGCTGCGCCGAGTGCGTCCGGGAAGAGCAAATCTGGTCGGCAGGACGAACACGTGGAGGGCTTATTGATAATCATATTGGACTCCCAGTCGCTGGGCTTTAAAGATGAAGCCAGGCCGGTGCGGGTCTCCAACGCCATGAGCTCCGCCTCGGGGTTTCGCAAAGCGAGGGTTCACTACCCCAGATCCGCGCAGGGCAAGTAGAGGAAAACAAAGGCCCGCCTCTATTACGAGCGCCAATCCCGCTCTCCCGCCCCTTTCTCACCCTCCATTTAGCCTCTAGGATGTGGTCCTCACGCCAGACTCATGCCGCCGCCGATTGGCCAGCGTCTTACTGGTGCGAGCGGCCCTAGCCAATCGACACCCGTCAGTCCACCCCGCGCGCCCACCTGGAGCGGCGCGAGAGCTGGAGGCCCGTTGTAGTTGGTGGGGGAATGGGCGTGGCTCCGCCGCCGCGTTGGGTCCGCGTCCGCCCCGCCCCGCCTTCTCGCCGCACCTCCGCAGCCTAATCCTTCCTTGAGTGTGGGAAGGGGCCGGGCTGAGGTATCGACGAGGTGAGCTCAGGGATCCGACCGTCCGCTGCCGTCAGCATGGAGTTCGTGAAGTGCTTGGGGCACCCCGAGGAGTTCTACAACCTTCTGCGCTTCCAGATGGGGGGCCGGCGGAAGGTGATACCCAAAATGGACCAGGTGGGCTGAGCATCCCTGCATCCCCGCGGAGTGGGGAGGCTGTGCGCGACCGCTGACTTCTGGGTCTGACCCGCAGGGCCCAGAATCGAGCGCAGAGGTTGCGGCCAGCGAGTGCCAGACCCCTCGAGCTCCCTCCTTCCCGCCGGGGAGCAGACCCCTATCACGTCAGGCGGCCCCACCTGCCAAGTTTGGTACACCTTCCGTTACCCCAATATTTGGCCCGGCTGCCCTTAGTCTCCTAGGCATTCCCCCAACCCCCAAGTTGTCTTGCTGCTTAAAATGTGTCTATTCGTTCAAGACATTGGTTTTCAAGTAGTTTGGCTTCACATTCCGTTCTGTCCCTGAGATTGATTTTTTTATGTGTTTTAATACGTGGGTTACACAACCGAGACTACATGGGTAGATTAAATGGGAGAGGACGTGTGAAAGAATTTTGTGAACATAATGAACTGTGCAAATATCGTCAGGAATACCTTTTCTGGAATGAAACCTTACTCATTCTTATAGTTTTCAGTTGCACCACCTCCATACGCTTCTCCCCCCTCTTTCCTGCAGTCTGAGCAGTCCCTTCGTCCTCTGTGCTCCCTGAGTTTTTTAGAACATTTATCTACTCTTGCAAGTTCTAATTAGTTGTCTGTCTGTCGATTAGCTACACTGTTGGCTCTTTGAAGGCCAGACTTGGTTTTGTTTATATTTCATCTGCCTCACTCCTGTACCCTTTGTTCAGTGAATTTACAATGAATAAATACGGTATTTATTCCAACAAGAAACACATTAAGTGATTTTTAAATGAATAGACATTCAACTGAATTAGTGAGGTTATATCAAAAGTTATAAATTTTTTTCCCCAATGGAAACATCACAAATACTGTCCTTTGTTTAAATCTACTCTTAGTTGTCCTTAAATACTGTAATTTTCCATCAGAAAAAATTTCCCTCTGTGATGTAACTCAGAATCCTTCTCCTTCATAGTCTAGCTTCTGTGAATGCTACCTCTGTTGACCACTCAGTAGATATTTATTAAACATCTATTCTCTTTTAGGCTTTATGCTGGGGGCAGAAGGGCAGGATAACATATGTAGACAAATTAGACACCCAAAGAGCTCATTGTCTTGTCAGGTCGATAAAATTGTTCATAGAAAACTTAGGCAGGCACCATAATGAGATGCGTTTTCATGTTACCTCTGACCCTCCCTCAACCATTTTCTCTAGCACTGTTTAATCTTGTATCAGCCCCATAGTCTTTTATCCTGGTTATTTGTGGATAGGTTATGTTTCCAAAGTCCCTTTCAGAGTTAAGAGTCTGTTTGGTTCCAGATTTTACGCTGTTTGAAAACAGGAGTCTTGTTTGATGTACCTTGTTGCAGTGCCCTCAAGAAACTGCTAGCTTTGAAAACAAAAGAAACTCAAGTAACTATGGCAGAATATATATAGTACATGCCCTAAAGAAATTTACAGAAGGGAAAAGTCACCTCTGATTGGGATAGGGGGTTAATTTTTTAAGGGATGCCTAAAGGAAATACAGCCTTAAATTGCCCCGATGCCTTGGTTGATACTTGTTTAATTAGGAGATTCTGGCTAAGAGCTCTTAGGTGGTCCTTTCCTGAAATTGTTTGGAAATATTTATTTTATTGTATATTTGTGTGTTTTGAGGGGGTAGAAAAATTCTGTTCCCTATTATCAGATGCTGCCAGGGATCTGTGACCCAAAACAGAAAAATAGCCACTGCTTTATAATCCAAGATGTACAGTTTCCTGGATACTTTCTGGGACAGGTAGTTCACTACCTCTGGAGACTGGCCCCCTCCAGACAGTTCTGGTTTTTACAAAGTGTTTCTTAACAATGAGTTGAACTTTTACTCTTGGTTTACCCTCTGGAGTCAAGAGAGTCTAATCCTTGATTTGTAATATGCCACTTGAAGTATTTTAAGGCAAGTCTCATTCTCTCCAAGAATACTGATAAACAAGCCAAATGTTCTGTGTTCTGCCTGTAGTTATTCATTATATGTTACTTTTTCCAGGTCATTAACCAACCTGGTCTCTCTCACTTTAAAGTCTAGTATTCAAAACTGAACAATATTCCTTAGGTGTGATCTGGTTATTTCAGAACTTTCAATTCCTTTCTTATGGATGCTGTATTTCTAATTAACATAACTCATAATTGCTTTAATTTTTAAAAATATACTTTATTTATAAAATGTTTTTATTTTATTTATTTTTTTAGAGCATGCTCTGCAGCCTGTGAGATCTTTGTTCCCCAACCAGGGAGCAGACCCATGCCCCCTGCATTAGGAGCCTGAAGTCTTAACCACTGGACTGCCAGGGAAGTCCCTAAAATATTTTAAGTGAAGAGAGAAAAACTGAAAATAGTGTAACAAACTGTTTTTGATTCTATCATACTGACAGTCATTAAGGTGATGAGCAACAGATTCACATTAAGCAAAGGGTGGTGCAGATTCAGCTGAAAGCTGAACACACTTTGTGTGATGGACAGACAGGAAACTGTGTACCCTCAGTTCATCCCTGATGTACAGGTGTACAAAGGTTAACCTAGGGAACTTCCCTGGTGGTCCAGTGGTTAAGACTCTGCACTTCCAGTGCAGGGGGCGAGAGTTTGATCCCTGGTTGGGGAACTGGGATCCCAGGCACACGTGCAGTTTGGCCAAAAAAAAAAAGTTAACCTAGGAAATGCCAAGTCATCTTAAGTTCATTGAGATTTCAGGAAATTTTAGTGAAGTAGAACCATTTTGCAGCAAAAAGTTTTCCGAAAAAATGCTTTGTAATGTGTAGGGCCTTGAAGAAGTATTAGATTTAGATTAGTGGTGAGGATCATCGTGTGTAAAGCCAGTATGAGCCATGTCATTTGGTAAGACTGTGCACAGTGTGTGGGGCTGAGGATTCCAAGTTAGAAGTACATTGTAAAGGGTGTCGGTCCAGTGGCTAAGACTCCTTGCTCCCAATGCAGGGGTCCCAGGTTCCAACCCTGGACAAGGAACCGGATCCCACATGCCGCAATTAAGGTCCAAAGATCCCATGTACTGCAGCTAAGACCAGGCACAGCTAAGTTAATAAATAAATGCTTTAAAAAATAAATAGATAAAGGGATTTAGAAAAAATTGTTTAAAAAAAGAGGTACATTGTAAAGCTACTGTACTCCAATATAAATTAACTTAAAAAAAAAAAAGAAGTATGAAGTGCAGTGGGTGCATGTGGGAATCCTGGAGCTGAGCTGTGTTAGTGGAAGCAGGCAGTGGTCAAATGCACCCGTGACATGATGAAAGCAGTATTTTGGGAACAGTAATTTGGCAGGTGAATGGGATTAGGGGATTATACTGTGAGTTAAACTAATCAAATTAATAATAGACAGCATTTGAGTTCTTCTATGTGCTAGACTTGAAGTCTATTATCAGTTAGCTTTCACTGGGTAGCCACCCCAAAACAGGGTGACCTAATTCTGGAGTCTGGTTGCACAATAGTATGACTACTTAACACTGTTGAAGTGCCTGCTTACAAATGGTCAAGATGGTCAAGTTCATGTTATGTATATTTCACCACGACTTGCCTGATGGCTTAGTGGTAAAGAATCTACCTGCTGGTGTGGGAGACATAGGTTAGATCCCTGGGTCTAGACCATCCCTTGGAGAAGGAAATGGTAAACCACTCCAATGTTCTCGCCTGAAAGATCCCATGGACAGAGGAGCCTGGTGGACAACAGTCCATGGAGTCGCAAAAGAGTTGGAAACGACTTAGTGACTAAACAACAATGTATTTCACCATGATTTAAAAAACCAAATTCAGTGACTTAAAATAACACCTGTTATTTAGTTCACAGTTCTCTAGGAGAGCTGGGGGGTTCTGGTCTGTTCCAACTTGGGGTTGATTTCTACCGGGTTTGCTCAGTTGGCCAGTTGGCATGTGGCTGGACCAGGTGTGATTTATAGACGTAGGCTGGGGACTCTGTGTCACATGCAGCCTGTTGGCCTGGGAACTCTCCGCTCTTGATTGGAATTGTGCAAACCCTAGTGTGCACACACTCTTGAGCTTTATGCTTGACTCACAGTTCCTGCTGTCTTATTGGCCAAAAAAAGGGGAGCCCACATGCAAAGAGGTGGAGAAAGACTCCTTCTGATGGAAAGAGCCACAAACTTTATGACCATTTTGTAATTTACCACACTTAGTTGATCTTGACAACAACCCTAAAGACATAAGAGCTATTGGTACTACCATTTTACAGGTTATAAAACTGTGACATAAAGTGGTTGAATTTTGAAGACCTTCCTGCTTCCACTCTGAAGGTCCCCCCGGGATAAAGAGCACAGGTCTGGACTGGCCCCAGACAGCAGATCACATCCCAACACTGTCATGTGTGCTCCGGACACATCACAGGCACGCAACAATTTCTGGTTTCTTCCCTTTCCAATTCTTTGCAATTCTGCTGTATAGTCCCTCCCTCCCTTACTCCCTTCCTTCTTTCCTTCCTTCCTATATTCATCTAACAGACATGGGACCACTGGTTGCATGCTTGATATTGTTCTAGGAGCTTGAGATTAAAGTGAACAAAATAGGTGAAGACCTTGCTTTTACAAACCTTACATTCTTGTAGAAGAGACAGAATGAAAAAAAAAAAAAAGCAAATATACAGTATTTCACGTGGAGAGAAGTACTACAAAGAAGAAATGATAGCAGGACAAGGGAGCTGAATGTTTGAAGTCAGGGGACATCATTTATAAGGTTATGATCTGGGTCCAGACACTTAGCTGGCATCTTTTTAACTTTTTGAAAAGTGAGATCCGGACTGTTGCCTCTCCTAGCTCTAAGGTCTGGTGAGCACAGAGCATGATATTTTTCTGTGCTCAGTGGCTCAGTTGTGCCCGATTCTTTGCGGCCCCGTGAACTGTAGCCCAGCAGGCTTCTCTGTTCATGGGATTACTGGAGTGATGGCACGATTACCGGAGCGAGTTGCCATTTCCTTCTCCAGGGATTATTTTGCTAGTTGTAGGTTTTCTGAGCCAGTTTTAATCTGTATGAAGCATTTTTTTAAATGGCTGAGTGTACCTCAGAGAAAACATAGGAATACCTATGGGACAGTGAAAAACCAAACTGAGGTGGGCAGTCTCCAGAGGTAGTGAATTACCTGTCCTGGGAGGTGTTCCAGAAACTGTATATCTTGGATTGTAAAGCAGTGACTGTTTTTCTGTTTTGGGTCACAGATGCCTGGCAGCATCTGATAATAGGGAACGGAATTTTTCTCCCCCCCAAAACACAAATATATAACGTGTGTGTGCTTAGTCGCTCAGTCGTGTCCGACAGTTTGCAACCCCATAGACTCCAGCCCACCAGGCCCCTCTGTCCATGGGGATTCTCAGGCAAGAATATTGGAGTGGGTTGCCATGCCCTCGTCTGGGGGATCTTCCCAACCCAGGGATCTAACCCAGGTCTCCCGAATTGCAGGCAGATTCTTTACCCTTTGAGTCACCAAGGAGGCCCATTAATACTGGAGTGGGTAGCCTGTCCATTCTCCAGGGGATCTTCCCGACCCAGGAATCGAGCCAGGGTCTCCTGCACTGCAGGCAGATTCTTTACCAGTTGAGCTATCAGGGAAGCCCATAAAATTAATAACAAAATATTTGCAAATAATTTCAGAAAAGGGCCACATACGACTTCTTCACTAAATATTGTCTTAGTTTCTCTCTTAGGTAACAAAGACACTGGAGAGAAAGATTAATACTTAGCAGACCTGGAGGGCTGAGATTATTTCAATCATAGAAAGATTTGGCTGTTAGAGTTCAGGGTTCCCTAAACTTGATTTATCCTGAATTTTTAGAAGCACATCAATAAATCTGGAGGCATACTGCCAGCTGCATGCTGTGTGACGTCACTTAGCACAAAATGGAAATAGTGTTTTCTAATCATGAAGTTCTGGCTTCCATCAAGTCTAAATACTATTATTTAGACTAACATCCTCTCTATTAAATCAAATCCTGACTGTATTACTTGTGGTCACAACTTTCAGCAACAGTTTCTTCATCCATAAAATAGACATAGTGGCTCACAATCTCTCAGTCACAATTTCCCAACTCCAAAACGGTCTAAAAACGGGTTTTTAATAAGTCTGGCTCAAAGTCTTTTGGTGGTATAATGTGCTTTGATTTAAAGTCATCCCACTTAGGATAATTATTCACTGTTGAAAAAATGTTCATAATCCCAGTTACAGGGAGCCACTCCATAAAGACAGGATATGTATGCATTTTATTCCCTGCCTTCTAAAACACTACAGATTCTGAGTTCTGCTACACATCTGGCCTTGAAGTCCTTGGGTAGACTGCAGGTCTGTATATCTTCTTTAAAGAATTGTGTAAGGATCAAGGATTTTGTTTGTATTGTGCTTGGCATATAGTTACTGCCCAATAAGTGGTAGTTATTACACTTGTTTCGTAACTTCAGTTCTCAAGTTTGTGGGGTTTTCCCTCCCTTCTGAGGAAACCTCTGTTGCATGAAGTCTGAACAGAAGGCTGTGGGGAAGGTTGGTCACCGTCCACTTGTGTCCTGGGAGGACAGTCCTGTACTTCTCACCACTGCACACTCTTCCCCTCAATGCCTTTCATCCCTCTTCTCTCTCCCTGGAGAGTTCTTGGGAGCAGGCTCATCTCGGCAAAGGAGAACAGTAGGAGGCTCAAGGGACAGCTTCCCGCTCCCTCCCCCAGCCCCCCTTAGCTCATAGGAAGCAAGCAGTGGAAATGTTTGTAACAGTGACTTTTTCCATAGTGTGTTTTTTAGTTATATCTTCCCTGTATCTTCTTGGTAATTTGAGGAAATTGTTACAGATGTATTGAAACAAATAGGTGCCAAGAAAAAGACTGATGGCAGAAAATGAGAAGTGATTTAGTGACCTGGGTCACTTTTAAAACAGGAGAGGGCGTTTTTGGAAAGGAGGGGCATGTTCTTATAGAGTGTTGCTCTTCAGAAGGAGTGCAATCTAACTTTGACATCAGCCCCCAAACCCTTAGGTGTAGCTGAGGATGGAAGCATTTGGGAGAGCAGGGAAAGGAATCAAGTTGTTTGTGAAGAGCTGGCTCAGAGCTCAGAAAAGAGCTGTTCCTTTTATTTATTGTGAAGTCTTTCCTCTCCACATTTTGAGAGAGGAGTTGATGAATTGCTCTTAAAATACTCTCTGAATTAATTAATTTACTCATCAGCCCTTCACTATTTTTATATGCCAGACTGTATGTCCAAAATGATTTTACTAATATATGGTGCTTAGTAAATGCTAATTTTTAATAATAATTTTAAATTGAATTTCACAATAATGTGAAATTCTTATGATTAAAAAAAAAAAAAGCTTTATTCTCTTGACAAAAGAATATGTATCCATGTTTGTAAATTTAGGAAATACACACAAATGAAAAGAACATAGTTTACCTGGACCCCAGCAAGGCCCCAAGTTTCACTGTTAACATTCCAAAGTGACTGTGGGATTTACATATATATATATATATATACACACACACACACACACATATTCTTTTTAAACAATCCCCTTGTTGTTAGATATTGCAAATTATTTCCTGTTTCTCTCTTAAAAAGAGAGTGCGGGGAGACTGGTTGGAGGGGGTGGTATATGGGAACTCAATTCTCTCTGAACCTAAAACTGCTCTAAAATATAGTCTCCATAAAAATAAATACAAAACAGCAATTCTTTCTGATATGGTTGCATATTAAAATATGGCTTTTTTTTTTTTTTAAGAAACAGTTTTTGTCTTCCTTCAGTTCAGTTCAGTTCAGTCATGTCTGACTCTTTGCAACCCCATGACCCTATGAATCGAAGCACGCCAGGCCTCCTTGTCCATCACCAACTCCCGGAGTTTACTCAAACCCATGTCCATCAAGTCAGTGATGCCATGGGGGAAGAGTAAATATAAAGTTCATAAAGATCTTTACAGTTCATTGATTTGAAAGGGAAAGATGATTAGAAATCTTTATAAAAGGAATAATGAGCTTTCCAGAGGATAATAGAGGTTTGTGTGTGTGCCTGCGTGCGTGCGTGCTCAGTCATGTCCAACTTTTTGTGACCCTTTGAACTAGTACCCTGCCAACCTCCTCTGTCCATGGAGTTTTCCAGTATACTGGAATATAATATGTATTATAATAAGTAGTATATAATATATATTATACAATGTATAATATACATAATATATAATAATATATACTATACTATTTATAATTATAATACATAATTATATATAAACAATATATAATATACTGGAATATAACAGTATAATACTGGAGTGGGTTGTCATTTCCTCCTCCAGGGGATCTTCCCGACCCAGGAATTAAACCCGTTTCTTTTGTCTCCTGCATTAGCAGGCAAGAGTTTTTACCACTAAGCCACCTGGGAAGCCCCTAATAGAGGTTTAACAGGTGTTAAAGTAAAACCAGAACAGGACAGTAGTTAAAGAGGTCAGAAAAGATTTTATTCAGAAAAGCGTTTGCAGTAGAGGAAGAGACTTCAGGATAGAACTGGGCTCAGTTCCGAACAGAGTGTAGGGGCGGGTGGATGGAAAACATACTAAGAGGAAACCTATGGGGTAAAGAGCATTCTGCCTGAACTACCTATCGATTTTTACTGGGGGCAGGCCGGGGCGCTAGGATAAGTGGGGGAAGAGGAACCCGGCCAGATAGTGAGGGTGATCATATATGGGTTATGGGGGATTCTGGCTAAACGAATTTAACCGCGTTCTTGCTAGAGCTGAGCGATGCAAAGATAAGCACCGAAGTACAAAGGTTGAGGATTCAGAGGAGCCTGGCTAAAGTTTGGCCGAGGGGAGACTCCGTTGCAGGAGAAAGGGCAAACTTCTCAAAAGAGGACTGGGTTCCCTTAAACAGCCTATGGGTTCTGGGGAGAAGGGGAACTCAGGAAGGCGCGAGGAGGCAGTGTTCAGCCGGAGGCCGAGGGGCGGGGCTTACATCTGGGCCGGCTGCGGGCGGGGTTGTGGGGTGAGAGGGGCTGGCCGCGGGGTGGGCGGGGCCCGCAGGGGGCGGGCGGCGGGCGCCTGCTCGGTGCTGGGGAGCCCCATGCCTACTGCGGGGGAGGGAGAGCCCGTCCCGCCCCGCGGTGGGCGCCTCTTCGCTCGGCTCGGGTCTATGGAGGAAAAACTGCGCTGGCCCTGCGATTCCCATGGCCGCAGTCGCCTGCAGCACCAAGGCCATGTCCCTCTTCAAGAGGACCTTGGTGCTGAGTCCCGGCGCGGCACCCAGGGGCGCGGGCACCCCCTCGCGCGGCTGCCCCTTGCCTCCCGCCGCCTGGCCGTCCAAGGACCGGCCTCGGGGAGAGGGCGTGTGCGGCCGGCTACGGAGCCCCACAGCAGCCGGCCGCTCGCCCCAGCCCCACTCCAGCACCTCCTCGTCTCCCACCGCCCTGTGTCTCCTCTGCCCGCAGGATTCGCTCAGCAGCAGCTTGAAAACTTGCTACAAGTACCTGAATCAGACCAGTCGCAGTTTCGCAGCTGTTATCCAGGCGCTGGATGGGGAAATGCGGTGAGTGGCAGAGGCTGCAGTTTTTTACTTGGGGGAGGAAAACTTTGCCAGAGGCCTGCAGAGTCATTCGAAGCTACTTTTTGACACAACTCCTAGCGTTGCAGTCTTGGTGCTGTGGCTTTGCCAGAACGTGCCCCAGTGGGTGAAGGAAATGTTGGCGGTTGAAACGCGCCTGTGTTTACTTTGGGCGCTTCCAGGCACCTGGCCATCTCATCGTGTCCCTGCCCAGTTGTTTGGGGTGGGGAGAGTGGGGGCGGGGGTGGGGGGCGGTGATGTTTATTAACTTTTTTTAGTCCTGGCCGCTGGACCTATCTCTGAGCGGCTCACTCATGTATTTTCCTTGGTTTCACTTAGGCTACTTTGCATTTCTAGTATATTGGGTTAATTATTCTGAAGTTGCCTCTGTGCAGATTATATACATGACTTAGACCAATTGTATGATAGTATTTGGGCTTCCCAGGTGGTGCTAGTGGTAAAGAATCCAAGAGACTCAGGTTCAGTCCCTGGGTGGGGAAGATCCCCTGGAGAAGGAAATGGCAACCCACTTCAGTATTCTTGCCTGGAAAATTCCATGGGCAGAGGAGCCTGGAGTCCATGAGGCTGCAGAGAGTCAGACACTACTGAGCCAGCCAGCCATACATGATAGTATTTAGACTTGAGATGTTATTGTGTCTTTTTGAGTTTATTTTATCTGCAGAATAATAGTTCTGTCTACACATGTGGTCTTTCTACAGTTCTTCATTAGTTAAATGTAACTCATTCTGGGAGTAGTAGTGACATCCAGTGACATTTTTTATTTTTATTTTTATAAATTACAGAAGTCCATTGCTCCCATCTAAGAAAGGAAAGCTAAGAAGTTGCATTAATTAGGAAAAGCTTTGGATATCCTTTCAGTGGTCTCTAGAGTTAAGAGTGTAGGAGGGTTTTCAAAATGGCCTGGCAAAAATGAAATGGGATTTTGAAACAGTGTCTTTGAATGTTTGTTCCAGTGTATTAGTAGTTATTCCTTTCTTACAGCCATGCAGTATGCATATTTTATCTGGTTCTCCGAGCTTTGGACACGCTGGAAGATGACATGACTATCAGTATAGAAAGAAAAGTGCCACTGCTACACAACTTCCACTCATACCTTTATGAGCCTGACTGGCGGTTCACCGAGAGCCAGGAAAAGGACCGACAAGTCCTGGAGGACTTTCCAACGGTAGTAGGACTAGTGGGGTGCAGTCATGTGCATGATTGGTGGGGTGGCTGTCAGCCAGCTTGTGTGCCTGGTTGTCACTGTTTACTTGCTAAGTTGCTTTTGCGACCCTGTGGACTGTAGCCCACCAGGCTCCTCTGTCCATGGGATTCTCCAGGCAAGAATGCTGGAGTGGGTGGCCATTTCCTCCTCCAGGGGATCTTCCCAAACCAGGGATCAGACCTGTGTCTTCTGCATTGGTAGGTGTATTCTTTACTACTGAGCTGTGAGCCTGCAGGGAGCTGCACACCAGCAGTCTCAGGACAGCATAGCATAATGTGGCGATGGTGCATCAAGCCAGACTTTCTGGGTTGGCGGCCTCACACTTGCTCACTACCTGGTGCAGCATCCCATAGTCTGCCTGTGATTCCATTTCCTCATCTATAAAGTAGATTAAAAGTCCCTGTCTCCTAGTATGTTTTCGAGGATGGAAAGAGTTAATGAAGGTGGAACTCTTAGGCAGATGTTATTTGCTGCTATGGTTACCAGGATGATGTTGGTAGTCCAGTGTTTCTTCCTGTGGAGAGAGCTCTCAAATGCCGGTGTCCTGAAAGATGCGTTGTCCAGTCTGTGCACGCACGAATGCAGCCTAGGTGTGCCACACTGCTGGCCCCTGGAGCACCCTGAGTCTGGTGGTAAACCGTACGGCTCACAATGGGTGGCGGCTGTGGAGTAGGGAGTGGGCTGTTTGCACCTGGACTGAGTGAGCACTGAAGCAGGATGACCTCTGTCATCCACAGCTGTGTGAGCTTGGATGCGCTCATTAACTTCCTCATGCCCGAGTTTCCTCCTCTGTAAAGTGAGAGCTGTGAGGCCTGAATGAGTTTATACATGTCTGGTACATACCAAGTGTTCTTTAAATATTAGGTATGTAGTCCATTCTGTTGGAGTAAAGTGGGTACTAACTAAAATCTTGAGCTTTAGAAAATTCCACAGATTTCTTTTATGCATGTGCCTAGATCCTACTTTTCTAGGATTTGCATATCTTATGACATAAATAAGCGATTCTTCCATACCTTACAAATAAAGGTTTGATTTGGCAACATCTCAATGTTCCCTAGGGGCTTCCCAGGTGGCTCAGTGGTAGAGAATCCACCTACCAATGCAAGAGTTGCAGGGTTTGATCCCTGGGTCCAAAAGATCCCCTGGAGAAAGAAATGGCAACCCACCTCAGTATTCTTGTTTGGGAAATCTTCCAGAAAGAAGAGTCTGGTTGGCTACAGTCCATGGGGTGGCAGAGACTTAGACACGATTGAGTGACTGAGGATGAGCAGCAGAGGCTTTCTAGAACAACCATTGTGTGTGATGGGTTAAGTTACAGTGCATCTTTTTCACCTGGTGCTAGTGGAGACTTGTAGTCTTAGAGATCTACCTCCAATCATAGCTTGAGGAATAACAAAATAACAAAAGTAAGCACTTTTAAATGATAATAGCAACAATAGCATTCATTTATTGAGCTATGAATTATGAAATGCATTTCATTATCAATTCATCATCTTTATTTTATATTAATGGAGTTTAACATGTAATGTCTATGATACACTGTTCCCCATGTTTTGTATAGATGAAGAAACTGAGGCACAGTTTTAGTTTTAAGCCCCTTGCCTGAAATTACCTGTGAAGTTAAGTGGCAGGACCAGGATTCAAATCCAGAAGGCCTGCCTCCAGAACCCTCATACTCAATTCCTGGTACACTTTACTGTCCCTTTAAAAGATTAGGTTAAAAGGAAAGTTTTGTGATTTGAGATAGTAGCATTGAAACATATACATTACCATATATAAAATGGATGGCCAGTGGGAATTTGCTGTATGATGCGGGAACCCAAAGCCAGTGCTCTGTGACAACCTAGAGGGTTAGGCTGGGGAGGGAAGTTCAAGAGGGAGGGGACATATGTATACCTATGGCTGATTCATGTTGATGTATGGCAGAAACCATGACAATATTGTGAAGTAATTATCCTCCAACTAAAAATAAAATTTTAAAGAAAGTATAACTTTGCATATAGGTGAAGTGTTTTTATCATAACATCCCAAGGTTTATTATTAGGGAGGGTTCTGTTTACATGCTCCTGTTACCCCTGCTGGGGATCTGGCCTTTCTCCATGATAACAGTGGGCTCTCTTTGGTTTCTTCTTTTCTCATACTTAGCATCACTAGAGAGTGACCTGGGGACCAAAAAGTGTACTATGGGTGGGAAACAGAATCACCTGGAGGGATAAGAGAAAGCACCTCCTGGCTGACCTCGCTGGGCAGAGGTCCCTCCCTCAGATTTCTGGGAAAATGGAGAGCTCTGCATCGTCACTCCTTCCCAGACATTTGTTTTCATGTTCTATACAACGACGTAGTAAGTACCAAAGAGCTGAAATTGGTTCACATTCAGCAGTGAAGTGTTTATCTCGGAGGGTTTGTTTTCAAGCCTAAGCTGCCCCTCCCCCAGCTGGCTGTCCTTGCCCCTTTTATAAATAGAACTGACCCAGCCCAGTTAGCTGTTGAAAGACCAGGTCCTCCCGAGATTCAGGGATTCAGATGACCTTTGGTAGAGTCGCTGGTTTGCTTCAGTCCACGTGGGAATTGCCTTTGGGCTTTGTCTTGGAACAGCTGTTCTGGAAAGAACAGTTCTGTAGAGATGAGATTGATTTTACAGATTTTAGGGGTTTAACAGTCAATGTTCATCAGAATAATCCTTAGTATCTTAGGCTTCTGAGCTCTTTCAGTGCCCTGCAACCAGCTGAGTTTCCCTCAGGTCCTTACATTTAGGTGTTTCCTGAGGGAGTTTTTCTAAGCTTTCTGTAAATGTAGACCAAGTATTTCTCACTCTTCAGATCCTTAGCAAAGTCTGTTCACTATTCATATTTTGTGGATAGTATATTATTTGAGAAGTGTCATGGTATTTTGTATTTTGACAACCTACAAGCACTTCTTTGAACTTAAGCTAGATACTTATGCAGTAGCGATGAATTTTAAAAGCATCAATAATACTTTTTGATATTAAAGCTTGGGCTATGGGGAAAAAAAAACAACATTTGATAGCCTGCCTCAGATTGAACTAAACTGAGTTGTTTAAGAAATTAGAAAGTGTAGCCTTTATAATGGGGAAGACACTATAGCTTCATGGCATGAATTCAGAAACTGATGATGGAAAATGGTTGTCTGGTCTCCTCAGGGGAATATAAGCTCTTAGGGCAGGTCACCTGCCGACTGTGCACCTCAGTACCCACAAGTGCTTGTTGCATAGGGAGCACCCAAGACTGCACAAACGAATCTTCATTATAATGAGGCTTGTCTGAAAATGAGGTGTTCTTCCTAAAATTCTTACACTTAGGTCCAGTTTTATGTTGAAGCATCTCATTTCTCATTAATGGGGAAGATGAGCCTATAATAAGACTTTGCATCTTCTTTTGAGTCTAGAAACTAGCATTTTTATACCCTTCTATTTTAACATTTGTGAAGCTTGCTGGGCTTATTCAGTATGTAGAAACATAACATAACATAGATGTAGGCTTATAGCAGGATCATTTGGGAGTCTTCACTAACAAGTTCTGTTACAGCTTTGCTTTACGATCCGTAGGTACCATGTTGGTTCCCAGTTTTACTACGTGTTTCATATTTTCTGTTTTTTTATGACCTCCATTTCAGATCTCCCTGGAGTTTCGAAATCTGGCTGAGAAATATCAAACAGTGATTGTCGACGTTTGCCAGAAGATGGGCTTTGGGATGGCGGAGTTTCTGGATAAGCGCGTGACGTCTGAACGGGAGTGGGACAAGGTTTGTGTCCCTGTGGAGCATTGTCGGTGTGGGTGGCACCGGTGAGCTCGCAGTGCCCACCATGGTGTTTAGGATGAGGAAGAAGTGGTGGTTTTACAACCCAGTGGTAATGTCTCCTCATAAACACTGCACAGTCTTATGTTACCACGGGGTTGTTTCTGAGGACTTAATACACAGAGCTTAAAACACATCCCCATTATATTAAAAAAGAAAAGCCAGAAAACAAGTACTACCATGACATTCTTTTACAAAATGAACATTTTGAGACACTGCAAGATCTTAAAATGTCTTCAAGATTAAACTCTACTTAGTATTCTACTTTCTATTAGAATATTCCTTATTCCCTCAGGGCCTTCACTCCCAATTTCAGATGTCAGAAAGTTTACTGTACTCTCTTATTTTTCCAATAACCTTTTATTCTAGAAGCAGTGCATGTGCATTGTACATATATATATATATATGTATATATATATATATAGATATAGATATAGAAAATATAGTTTAAAAAAAAGAAGAAATATCACATGAGCTAGAGATCACAGATCTCTGATGAGCCAGAGATCATTTTTGTTAAATCTTTTGTGTTCATCCTTCTTGGAATGTCTTTTACTCCTTACATGTACATGGTATATAATGTGTGTGTGTGTGTGTGTGTTTACAGCAAAATGAGGTCTTTTACAGTCTCTTTGGAACCTGGTTTTTCACAGCTAATGATTTCTAGTATTCCCAGTTCAGTAAAAGCTTCACTATTAAAGTACCCTACAAATTCTCTTTCAGTACTGTCACTGTGTTGCTGGGCTGGTGGGAATTGGCCTTTCCCGTCTCTTCTCGGCCTCAGAGTTAGAAGACCCCTTAATTGGCGAAGACACAGAGCGAGCCAACTCTATGGGCCTTTTCCTGCAGAAAACAAACATCATCCGTGATTATCTGGAAGACCAGCGAGAAGGAAGAGAGTTTTGGCCTCAAGAGGTAACAGCTTCAGGGGGTTTGGGGAGAAAGAATTTTGAACGCTCTCTGACAACAAACCATTAAATCCTGTTGGTTGCAAGTGACAGAAACACAAATCAAGGTCCGTTAGACAACACAGGAGAATGTGTAGACTAGGGTAGGATTTAGTTTGCTTCGGGGAGATTGGCTGCATCCATCTAGGGGTTCAGGCTGTGTCCCCTTTCTCTTGGACAGGCTTTCTCCAGTGGTGGGTATAGCGTCCCGTGACTCACTCAGAGGCTTCATTCCTATGTCATAGTTTTTGGATTTTCCCAGATTCTCACCAAAGGAAAAAAAAAAAAAAGATGAAAAACTCAAATTGTACCCAAAACCTAGCTCTTGGATAATGTGTCCAAAAGCACAAGTGACAGAACATCCCCAGGAACTCCAAAACACAAATGGGTGCAGACAAAACACCAGCTCCACAAATGAAACTGGCAGAATCTGTGAAGCACAAAGCCAGAGCTCAGATCAAACAGGTGTTCCTGGTCAGACTGTGTGTGAGTCCACGAGGGCCGTGGCCAAGCCTGGAGGAGCTGGAGTGGACTGGCCCCCTTGAACTGGACATGGATACTGACCAGCCAGGGTTCTCTTCCCGGATTGGGCCACATTGAGGAGTGAAATAAAAACTGAGCAGCTAGGCCTAAGAGAGACCTAAGTGACATCAGCCAGATATGACGCATGGACCTTGTTTGTTTAAGATCCTTACTGGAAGAAACTAAGTGGGAAAAAGTCAGACAGTATGGCTGCTAACTGGATAATCTGTATTAAACATTTATCTTTAGTTAACTTTTAGTTGTGATAAGATATATGTGCAAGAAAGGTTCCTGGTCTTTTAGAAATTCATAATAAAGTATTAAATGATAACATATCAGGATAAAATGATAAATACAATGATTACCGGGATTTTAAAATAATTTGGGGGCTGGGGCGATGGAAGCCAAGTGTCAGTAACTGTTGAAGCTGGCGAATGGTTACATAGGTGCTCATTAACCTTTTTCTCCACATTCTGCAGGACAGTTGAATACCATCAATCTGAATGAGTTTAGGTGCAAGTTTAAGAATGGAAAACAAATTTGACTTTCCATTATATCTGTTAGTCCTTTTAGGCCCAGTCATTTCTTTTGGGGAGTGTATAAAGTTACAATAAGTGTTATTCTTTAGGAAGCTTAAGAATACCTAAGAATAAAAGTATTTGCTAGCTTCAGAGAACCCTCTAAATAATATCATTAAAGATCATCAAACCAATCCTTTTGTTCAAGTTGAGGCTGTTACTTCACTTTCAAGTTACTAAGATCAAGGAGGGTAATGTTGTTATAGTAGACACTTGGCTCGTTTCCCCGAGATATGCTTGTTCAGTCGTATTCTTATCAGAATTGGGAACATAACATTAATCATTAATTATTTTGAGGCCTGGCCGCCTTGAGAATGTTTAACATTTATCTTACAATGCAGTTGTAGCTGATTTTGTCATCGCTGGTTATTTTTTCAGAAGTAGACAATTGCCTTGCGAAAACCAGGAGGTCTTTTTGGCCTGAGGTCATCAAAGTATTGCTCCATCTGTGCTGCACTAATTGTCTCAAAGGGATACTTTCCCAAACACTTAACTTACTCTTGGTTGTGGTTAGACTTTTGAGTGTAGTTATAACCGCTATTATGTGGTGGTTAAAACAGATTCGGTCTTGATGAAAGGTGAGGCAGCGGCAAGACGGACTTTGTATATCATAGTTCTTAATCGCACAGGTCCTTTCATGTGGCTTGCACATTGTTCCCTTATGTATATGCTGACTTGTCTTTAATCTGCTTATATGTCCAGACTTGGAGCAAGTATGTGAAGAAGCTGGGTGACTTTGCTAAGCCAGAGAACATCGACTTGGCTGTGCAGTGTCTGAACGAACTCATCACCAACACACTGCACCACATCCCTGACGTCATCACCTACCTGTCCCGCCTTAGGAACCAGAGTATATTTAACTTCTGTGCTATTCCACAGGTACGGAGTGAGGAGGCTGATGAGGAGAGGGTAGGATGCCAGGGGTGGGGATAATGGAAGGCATTTACTGTTTTGGTCTGTGTATTTAGGAACGGAGAGTTCCTTAAAAGATGACTCTAGTGTATTTTCTTTCTTTGCCCCACAGCGGCCACACTCAGCTTCAGCCTTGAGGTTAATTTAGTCTGCTTTTCTGGAACCTTCTAGAACCTATCTTCCCGTCAGCTACTCTAAACTAGTTACTTTGATTCTTATCCTCACGATTTAAATTGAGGGCTTCAACTCCAGATTTTATGAGGAGTGCTGGGTGAAACACAGATGAAGCTGTTATTAAAAAGTCATAATTAAGCACTTAACTTTTGCTGTCCTTTTCCTAGATCTTGGGATAACAGAACATGAAACCTGAGCCTGTGAAACCTAGAAACTTAATTTTTAAATCCCTTCACCAATTGTTTCAGTTTTTAACTTGAAGAAAGTTACAGGATTTAACTGATTTGGAAACTGGGTTTAGTCTTATTCTAATGACCAGTCTTGCCCAGTTGATGGAACTGAAATCTCTATGCTGGACTTATATATGTGTGTGTGCTTAGTCGTGTCCAACACTTTGCGACCCTATGGACTGTAGCCCGCCAGGCTTCTCTGTCCATTGGATTTCCCAGGCAAGAATAACAGAATGGGTTGTCATTTCCTTCTCCAGGGGATCTTCCCAACCCAGGGATCGAACAGGGTTTCCTGCATTGCAAGTTGATTCTTTACCACTGTGCCACATGGGAAACCATATGCTGGACTTAGGTTTCCATCTATCCTAGAAATAATTTATCTTTATGTATAGGAGACCATACCCCCTCCCACCCTACTTTTGTCCCCAACAACCCCCTGTACTTTTTTTTAATGTATAATGATTATGTTCATTGTAGGAAAAAGAAAAAATAGTGAAAAATTTTCAGATACTATTTTGGAATATATGTTTTTCAGATCTAATAATTCATTGCCTTAGCATGGAAAATGTTACATTGGATTGTGTGTTTTTTTCAAATAGAAAGGAACTTTTGTGACTAAATTATAGAATTATTCAGGACTGCAAAGGGTGCTTGATTCTGTGTGTTGCTGAGAAATGGAGGTGTGGGAGCCGGGGTTGTCTTGATGTGCTTTCTTTATGGGTGTTTTCTCTTGATTAGCTGCATCTTGGCCCTTTGGTGCTCTCTGCTCATGTTCTCTTTCCGTCTCAGGATGACTGGCTACAGTGCCGTTTCTCACATGTTTTCATGAAATGAGATGAATGTGTTTTCTGTCTCTCATTATCTGTAGGTCATGGCCATTGCTACTCTGGCTGCCTGTTACAATAATCAGCAGGTGTTCAAGGGGGTAGTGAAGATTCGCAAAGGGCAGGCGGTCACCCTGATGATGGATGCCACCAACATGCCAGCCGTGAAAGCCATCATACAGCAGTACATGGAGGAGGTGGGTTCCGTGCAATCATGTTGCTGCTTAAGCCTTCCTTCACAGAGGGGTGGTAGACGATCTTCAAAGCTCGCAACGTTACGGCATAAAGACACGGGTTGGTGGCCTTTATTCCAGAAGAATATGCACAGGGAGCTGACTGTTGGGGGCTTCCTGGTACCCTGGTCAGAGGGGATAAAGGAAACCAGGTCTTAACGATGGAGCTTCTAGGAGAACCGTATTTGAGCTGGAAGATGAAGTTAGAGGCCAACCAGGCTTCTCCTCTTACGGCGGAAGCATGTGAAGCCAGGCCTGTGGCTGATGACATAGCTTCTGAGGGGATCCAGGATTGCGGGCCGCACTTCCTGACACCCCGACCAGTACTTCATGTTACAACAAGGACCTCAGTGGAGAAGCTGTCCCGGGGGATTTTGACAAAGGAAAACCATCAGGCTGCACCTATTTCTGAATTTTGTAATGTTGATCTCATTTCATATGCCAGAATGCATCCCATAAAACAGAGCATGCCTGTTCTAGGCAAATCTCCCAGCACTGGAGGGTGTAATATATGAATTGGTTCAAAAGAACTTTTTCTTCGAGGCTGGGGCTCTCTACTTGTCAGTCCCTGAGCATTACTTCCCAAGTGAGGTGATTCAGTTTCCTCCTCTTCTAAGGACATTTAGTAGCGTCTGGAGGCATTTTTGATTGTCACAGGGGGTGTGGGTGGCTACCGCCTTCCTCTGCGTAGAGACCCGAGAGGCTTCGGTTTGTTCTTGTTGAAGGCTGAACTACTGCAGAAGTAGATGAAAATGTAAGACCTCCCTCCCCACAGGTCACCACTGCCCCTAGTTTTCTGATCCTTCCAGTCCCTGGGTTATGTTTTGATAGGGATAAGATTTATAAGAGCAGTTTTATCTAAAAATTCTATAAGACAATGATTTCCTCTGATTTCCATTGCGTATTATACATTTTCCTTGTATTTCTTCTCTGTCTTCCAATCTGCCAAGTTTAGATCTCTGCATTTCTGTGTGAGGCACTTATAGAAGGTATAAGAGATCAGGTTTTTTTAAAAATCCCTAATTCTTTTACTGACTAGATGAACATGTCCAGCCATTAATCAAAAAATACCTACTGATGAGACTTGGGACATTGGGGTTCACTGTTTAGCCAGCACTTACTTGGGACTTACTCTGTAATTGGCATAGCAGCCAAATAGGTGGGTGCTATTAGTATCAAGGAAATTTGAGGCCCTAATTCTAAATAGTGACATTTTAGGTACTGTTCCCATTTTATATAAATTAGAAACATGCTATGTAGTTTATAGTTCAGAGAATAGTTTTATAATTTTATTCTGATCATTGATTTTAGAAAATCATGTTTTTAAAATGTTGTAGGCAGTTCCATTGCTGTATTAGAATTCATATTTTATTAGATATTTTCCATCACTGCTGGAATTAAAGCCTAGTTGGGATTCACAGTTTGACTTAGGGCAGAGCAGGGCAGGCCGCACGCAGCTGGCTGACCCCCTGATCTCATAAATGACTTGATATTAGGACACAGCCCCATCCATTTGTTCCTGTTATTGTTTGTGGCTCCCAGGGATGCTGAGCAGCAGGGCTGAGCAGCTATAACAGACAGGGCCCACAATGCTGAAAATACTTTTTTAGGCCCTTTAAGAAAAGTTTGCAGGGATATCCCTGGTGGTCCAGGGGCTAAGACTCTGTGCTCCCCATGCAGGGGGCCCAGATTTGATCCCTGGTCAGGGAACTAGATCCCACATGTTGGCCCGTTGACTTGTCACAACTAAGACTTGTTGCAGCCAAATAAATAAATAAATATAAAAAAGATAAAAAGTTTGCAGACCTTTCATCCAGGGCATCGATTATTTTATTTAAAATCACTAGTGAAACTTAAGGTATTTTAGAGGAAATATTAATAGCCATAAATTTACTTGACTTAAAAAAAAAACTGAAGATTTCTGAGTCTCAAGGAATGGAATGTGAAATGGTCTTAATGTCAGCCTTAAGGACATTTTGTCAATAAAGTTTCAAGTGAAGACTTTTAGTATGAAGTCCAAAAGTTGTTGGGCGTTTTGCTGGTGGCCGGATGTTAGCTCGCATCCTGTCTCTGCTCGCTGAGCACGAAAGACGGGAAGATGTTTACTCCTGAGGCCCCTGGTTGCAGCAGCAGTGCACGTGCAGGGAATCCAGGGCTCGCAAGTCTGAAGTGTGAAGGACGAGGTGGAGCGAAGCCCAGACCCCCTGAGCGGGGCAGCTGCTCCTCAGGGCCTCGTCCTCTGGAGCTGCCTCCACCGGAAGGCAGTCTGGCTACCTGGCAGCTGGTGAGAAGCTCCACCAGCTACTTTGGGACAAAAGCAAATGCTTAGGCAAACAGCCAGCAACTTTTACTTCCTTCTCTGCTAAAGACGATTCCTTGGCAAGGACCAGCTTTTTCTAGCAGGTGGAGCTTCCTGTTTGGCTATGGTCTGTGCTCTTCAAACCCTGTGGATCCTCTCGACTCAGAGCGTGGTCCTGTGCCCCCCATCCATGTCTTCCGCAAGTGGGCTAGCATTTTCCTTCTTGAGTCAGAATGAGTCTATCGCAGGATGCCCAGGTGGCACCTGTGAGCACAGTTTGAAGAGCAGGCGGGGGATTGGAGTCTGAACTCTCATCCCAACCCCCACGCTGTGCTCCTTCCCTCCCGCCCTCCTCCCTGGCTACTCCACCCCAGCAAGGGTGATGGCTGAGAAGGCACCCGAGGAGGCCCTTGGCCAGGCCTGGGCGTTCGGGGCGGGTGTTCTAGAAAAACTTAAGCCAAGACTTGGGCAGGAGGTGGGGCTCAGACTGGGGACAGAATATGGAAGCAGCGTTCCTGGGCAGAGGGAATGGTGTGAATAAGGAGGGGAACAGGAGCGGCATCGCAGTAGCATTTCCCTGCACCACGTCACTCTGCTTCAGCCTCAACAAAGAATGTGGATGCCACTGGCTCTTCGAGGTGCTGGGATAGAGCCCAATGGGACGGCCCTGCTGCCCTGGGAAGGGCTAGGGGGTCACACAGGCTAGGCTGATATCCTGCCTTACTGGGGAGTGGTTTGGGATTGTTACTTTTGTATTCTCCAAGCCTCAGTTTTCTCATTGGTCAAATGGGCATAAAATGCCTAGCTGTTGCAGATTGTTGCAAGAAGTGAGCACAGATGTTTATAAGGTTTCTAGGATTTATTATGTTTTCCTCTTTCTTCCACAGATTTATCACAGAATTCCCAACTCTGACCCCTGTTCCACTAAAACTCGGCAGATCATCTCCACCATCAGGACACAGAATCTCCCCAACTGTCAGCTGGTCTCACGGAGCCACTACTCACCCATCTACCTGTCATTCGTCATGCTCCTGGCGGCCCTGAGCTGGCAGTACCTGAGCACCATGTCCCAGGTCACGGAGGACTATGTTCAGACCGGGGAGCACTGACTGGCTCGGTCTGGAGACTGAGCGCCCCTCCTCCCCAGCCCCCATCTGGGAAACAGACTGACCTTCTCTTCAGGGATGGATGTGGGCTCCTCCTCTTTTCTCCCCTCCTGTTTTAATCCCTCAAAGAGTTCTGTGGGCCTGGACCTTTAGAAACTGTGACCTGTGGTAGAGAAAAAGATAGGATTAAAGGGAAAGGACACCTCAGCCACCTGTACTCACCTGTGCGGGGTGACTGACGCCGGACGTTCACGGCTGCCATCAGGGAAGTGGCTGCATCCGGGCCTGCAGAGATCATACTTAGTGTGAATACAGGCTAGAGTTACAATTAAATGTATTTAATTCAAAACAACTTTTGAATACCTATCGCAGTAGAAAGTGAAGTGAGTTTTCTTTCCGTTTGGTTCTTGTTTTTTTCATCATTTTGTTTCCTCCAGTGGACTTGAATGTAGCAGGTGTGAATATTTGTAGAGTTCTAGGAAATATTCCTAAGAATGCAGTCTGTCTGCTGCACATGAAGCCTAGGAGGCAACTTCTGGTGAAGTTGGCATCATTTCCTTGTTTAAAGGGAGTTTAGGTTCCAGGATTGTCGTTGGTCCCTTCATAGCAGGTGGGTTTCCAGTCAAAGCTAACGTTTTTGAGATTTTTTAATAAAGAATTGCATTATTCAGCGTTTCTCAAGGGTAGTTGACTTGAAGCCTGGACAGGCAGGGCAGGTGTGGGACTTCAGGTCTGGAGTTGGTGCTCGAGGGATGGTGGCAGGCTGCTGCCCCCAGAAAACTGGAACCGCCCGGCTGCCCAGCCCCCACTGTTCCTGCCAGGAAGGGAGCAAAGGCGTCCCCTCCACTGGCCTGCTGTGCTTCTGGCCAGTTCTGTTAGCTGTGTTCAGACATTTTATTGAATTCAGATGTTATTTTCAGCTTTGGGCTTTTCTTGTTTCTCAAGAAAGGCAGATGTTTTTCTGGTGACTGGCATGAAAGCCGAGTGGCAGTTAGCCCCGTTCCCCCAGCACAACGGTCTGTCTCCCTTTTTCCCCCAGGCATTGCTGAAGTTTGGGCCGTGCCCATCCAGTGACTCCCTGAGTCTCAACACAGAGCCCGAGAATCCCTGTTGGAGGGCATGATAGAACTTTCCAGAAGCCGGGCTCTTGGTGTATACAGTACACAGTCCTATTTTGCTTTGGCTCTTTATATAGTGAGTCGCCAAAAGAGGTTTGTTCCAGCAATAATTGGGTTCGCACTGCTCCACACATACCCATACTGATTCTGGTCATGTGGCCGCTGCTGGCCGTCTGATGATACACTGATGGTTAGTTTGATAATAGACTTGGGGTTCATGGAGGCTGCAGGTCCTCAGTTCACTTGAGACTAAAACCAGTCATCACACTGACCCAGAGTTACTTGCCACTTGGGACCATGGCTCTAAGCCAGACTCAACAGATTTTCCAAGTATGTGTAATTTAAGCATCAAAACTTAGTCTCAATATTCCAAGGTAGGTTGTTAGGAATTGTATGTTGAAACCTATTAGTTCTGCTAAAGTTCACATAGGACATGGGACAAGCTGGTGGCAACAACCTTGGTCTGAGGATGCACTGGAAGATTCTCTCCTCGCTCAGCCGTGGGCTGTGGGGCTTTCTGAACCTCTGGGCGGTGTGGGTCCCTCCCAATTGTAAAGCTATGGGGGTCTTGGCTCTGGTACACGCTCCTAAGCTCTTTGGAAGAACATTTCCCTTCTAAATGTTTATCTACTATTGATGTAATTCCCAGGTAAACACAGGATGTCCAGTTAAACTTGAATTCCAGATAAAACTTTTTTCTAGTATAATTATATCCCAAATATCACACAGGACATGTTTATACTTTAAAAAGGAGTTCTGGGACTTCCCTAATGGTTCAGTGGTTAAGAATCTGCCTGCCATGGAGAAGGAAATGGCAACCCACTCCAGTACTCTTGCCTGGAAAATCCCATGGACAAAGGAGCTTAGTAGGCTACAGTCCATGGGGTTGCAAAGAGTCAGACATGACTGAGTCACTTCACTTAACTTCACGGCAAAATACCTTGTGTGAAACATGTTCATCTTAATTTCCATGAAACAACACTCTGCAGTCTAATAAAACTTTAATCTATTGTACATAGGAAAAAAAAAAAGAATCTGCCTGCCAGTGTAGAGAACACGGGTTCAATCCCTGGTCTGGGAAGATCCCACATACTCGGAGCAACTAAGCCTATGCACCTCAAAGAAGAGTAGCCCTCACTCACTGCAACTAGAGAAAGCACATGCATAGCATCAGCCAAAAAATTAGTGATTTTTTTAAAAGGACTTCTGAATTCAAATTGAGCATCCTGTGTCTTTAGTCTAATTCTGCCTGCCCTGCCCTCTTCTCTGCACTGTGATTATATGTCCTTGGTATAGTCTTCTTGTCTCCTACTTCCAGTGAGAAATTTTAAGTTGTCCTCACAGGAGTTTGACAAATCTGAATCTAGGGCTTTAATTCAAGAAGCTCACAGAGCCCAACCCCATTTGGGCAGTTTCTGGAGTTGTAACTAAGACCTGCACCCACAAACACACCCACCCTTCCCTTGTAAACTGCTTCAAAGCCCCCCTCTTCTATTTACTGGGCCCCTTCTCGAGCTGGGGGTGTAGCAGGAGGAGTGGCTGGATGTTTGTTAATTAACCGGCACTCTAGGTTCTTAGTTTTGGGAACAGAGCTCTAAGGCTGATTCTTAAACTTCAGTGAGCTGCCTGAAGTTTCCAGATTACTAGGACCATGCTTTCTCAGGTTTTTCCTAGTCATGTATGGATGCGAGAGTTGGACCATAAAGAAGGCTGAGCGCCAAAGAATTGATACTTTTGAACTGTGGTGTTGGAGAAGACTCTAGCGAGTCCCTTGGACTGCAAGGAGATCAAACCAATAAACCCTAAAAGAAATCAAACCAATAAACCCTAAAAGAAATCAATCCTGAATATTCATTGGAAAGACTGATGCTGAAGCTGAAACTCCCAGTACTTTGGCCACCTGATGTGAAGAACTGACTCACTGGAAAAGACCCTGATGCTTGGAAAGACTGAAGGCAAGAGAAGGGGATGACAGAGGATGAGATGGTTGGCTGGCATCACCAACTCAGTGGACAAGAGTTTGATCAAGATCCAGGAGTTGGTGATGGACAGGGAAGCCTGGCGTGCTGCAGTCCATGGGGTCACAGAGTTGGACACGACTGAGTGACTGAACTGAACTGATGCTTTCTCAGGAGATCTGGGGAGGTGCCTCAAAACCTGCATTTTAACAGGTCCCCTGGCAGTCTTCTTTAACTGCAGACTCAAATCTGGTCCCAAATTCTGCATTTCTTATAACCTTGGAGATGCCAATGCTGTGAGTCTATGGGCCAGTTCTGAGTAGCAGGGCTCTTAAGTGTAGTGTTCTGATGCATGCTCTGAGTGGGACAGGCCGATCAACGTTTGTTCCCACTTCTAACAAAAATATGCCCTCCTCCACTTAAAGAACGAAAAGGCACTGTCACTTCCAACCGTCGGTCCCCTTGCTTGGAGCCACCCAAGAAAAAATGAGCCGAGGTGACAAGGTGGTATCAGTGTGGCAAATTTCTTACTGAAGTAGTGACATCAGTCCCAGTCGTAAATTCTTTTTGTTTCCTAGCAACGATTCCTTAGGCCAAACATGGAGATGCCCCAAAGTCCATTTTGGTCCACTTAGTGCATCTCTGCTAGCTTCCGGGTAAGGATGGAGATGCCGGTGGGTACATAGCACGGATGGGAGAAAGTAGGAAATGGAATTATTCAACGCAGCTTGGGAGTGGGCAGAAAATGTTAGAGCCAAGGTTATGCATGTTTCCCAGTTGAAATTGTACAAACAATGTAAAGCCATATTTACAGCTTTAAACCTCAGTAAACATTCCGTAAGTACTGGGTTCCACCAGTTTTTCCTACATGTTAACCAGAAGTTTAAGAGCTTGTATGAGGTAGTTCTGATCCTAACTTCTGAGGCACATCCAAAGTCCAACCGCCCTGCTTCTCAGAAGAGCAGTGGTCCAGCTCCCAGTCATGGAAGGGAAGTGATCTGTGGTATCAACAGGACAGTGATGGCGGTGATGGCGGGAGGAGTGGATGTTGCCAATTCTAATGGCCTCCTGATCCCTCAAGAACTGGTGTCCTTTGTGTATGTATGTTCCCATGATGTTGGGAAAGACTGAGGGCGGGAGGAGAAGGAGATGACAGAGGATGAGATGGTAGGATGGTATCACTGACTCAATGGACATGAGTTTGAGTGGACTCCGGGAGTCGGTGATGGACAGGGAGGCCTGGTGTGCTGCGGTACATGGGGTCAGAGAGTCGGAAATGACTGCGCGACTGCACTGTTACTGTGTACTATCTAGGACAATGCAAAAGAATACAAAGGAACGTCCGAGGGCGGCGACTGAGGGAGTGTGGCGTGGTCTGTGGAGTCACCCCAAGAGCCGGAGCTGCCATATCCCCTCTTCCACTTCCCACTGCAAACAATAAAAGGTCATTCGTACGGTTAAAAAAAAAAAATACAAAGGAACATGTAATTTTCAAAAAAATTTATTTGGCTGCACTGGATCTTAGCTGCAGCATGTGGGATCTAGTTCCCTGACCAGGGATTGAATTGGTCCCCTGCATTGGGAACGCAATCTTAGTCACTGGGTCACCAGGGAACTCCCAGAAATAAGTAATTCTTAACCAGTAATGTAAATCTAAGAGACTAGGAGCTCATAAAACCACACATGGACTCTGGTCTCTCCCAGATCCAACACTGGAGGGCCTCAGTCCTTCTAGGACTGGTTATACCACCAGTACACCATGCCTTCAGGACTTCTCAGGTCACTGCTGGTGTATGGTTGCTAAAAAAGAGGTAAGAGTTCTTACCTTAACGTAACAGGGACAGAGCTGCTTAATCAACAAAAAAGGGCTGATGAGAATGACAGGAAAATAAGAGATGAGGCACCATGGTTTGAAAGTACAGCAGCATCAATGTAGTTAAAATTAGGTATTTATTTTGTTCCACTCAACTGAGGCAAGACATCCCTGGTTAGAGGGTCGAGGGCACCCAGATCCATGGGAACATGATTCTTTCTGGGGGATAAGGAGAGACAGCAGCTAGAAGTCCAGACAGTGACACACAGTCTTGGAGATGCCACCAGAACGCAGACTTCACACTGAAGGAGAGGCGTTTTATTGGCAGCCATCCCTTGTATTTAACAGGGTGAAGCAGTGATTGTAAAAGGTAAAAGTTGGCTTCCTGCCAAACTAGTTTCTCTGTGGATTAGAGGGCAGTAAGGTCAGTCAAGTCACAACCGCCTAGTTTGAAGGAGACAATCCGTACAAGTAGCACAGCTCTTCCAAGTAGTAGACGCTCATTCACATGATTAGCCAAGGTGCACAAAAAGAAAACTTAGAGGGTCACAGCAAGGACGGGACGAGAGAGGGTGAGCCAAGCTGCAGAGCTCGACAGACGCAGGAGACCTGGGAGACCAACAGGGCTTTCTCCAAAGGGCTTCCCCACCGTCTCTTCTCAGCCTACTCCAGATCTAGAAAGCTGCCTGCTTGTGCAGGGATCTAACTAGGAACTCTGCTTTCCACTCTCAGAAATCTACAAACCCTTCAAGGTCTTGCTCCCTGGTGATGCAGAGGCGGGGCTGGGTGGGGCGTTGGAGGCGGGGGGGGGGGGGGGGGGCGGGGGGCGGGCACTGTAGAAGTGGTCAGGGCGGAAGCAGGGGCAGCAGGCACTACACAGCTCGTCTACAGGGAAAGGTTCGCTCTGCTTCGGCAGTGGCTTTTGTGTCTACACGTTCGTGTTGGGGCAGCAGTCTGTCCCTGGGCAGGCCTGGCTGTGTGTCCTTGGAAGACAGACCTGATGGCAGACACGCAGCTTGGCCCAACCCAGTCTTCTTCAGACCCTGTCTAAAAACCCTTATATATTATCATAATTCAAAAAATAAAAGACATCCCTACCCCACCGCCCACCTCATCCCCAGTCTAAGTGGCTGTATTTAGGGGAAAACTGGCCCTGGGCCAGCAGACAGGCCCCCACGCAGATCAGATCTTCTAGTACCGATGAGTACACGGCATTCCAGCCACGATTTCCGACTCGATTCCACAGTGGTCCTGTCCTCTGAGGATTTTGAAGAAGCCTGGAGAGCAGAAGTAACACGCATTTAGTCTGCTTGGATTCTGACCTTTGCCGACATAGCCAGCGTGCATGCTCAGTCGTGTCTGATTCTTTGTGATCCCATGGACTATAGCCCGCCAGGCTCATCTGTGCATGAGATTTCCCAGGCAAGAATACTGGAGTGGGTTGTCATTCCCTTCTCCAAGGGATCTTCCCGACCCAGGGGTCCAACCCACATCTCCTGTGTCTCCTGCACCAGCAGGTGAATTCTTTACCACTGAGCCACCTGGGAAACCACAGACCCACCTCTGAAAGACGGGGGAGTGGAAGTCACAAACCAGCCCCAAAGCTGTCACCAACCAGCACACAAGGTGCTCGGTGGGCTTCTACTTACCCTCCAACCCAGCCCTGTATCAGACTTCTCAATGGTATGGCCCCCCGCCCCCTGCACCTGTTGCCCTGAGGAACCAGGACGAGCACATGTGGCTCGAGGCCATGCCCCCACCCACACCCCCTCTTGGGATCAGAGGCTGCCCTTGTGGCAAGCGGAAACCTCAGCTCCCCAGCACAGAGCGTGGACATGATGCCCACTGTGCCCTGGCTTGGGCGCCCTCTGAGCGGGGACTGAGCTCACCATTGTCACCCCAATCAGTGTTCCAGGAGTTGCCGACCAGCCAGTAGGGGGTGCCGTCCTCCACTCCCCAGCCCAGAATGCGGATGGCGTGGCCTCCCATCATCTCTCCGGTGACGTGCTGGTACACCCCTGGGGGACGACAAGGCCCTTCAGACTCAGCCTGGGCACCGCTGGTCTCCCACAGCAGCCCATCCGCTCAGCTGGCCAACTCCACACAGGACAGATGGAGCCAGAGGAAAGGACGGGCCCTGGGTGTTCCATGGGAAGACTCCAGGGATTCCCATAACATCCGGGAATTATTTAAATATATTTTTGAAAGCCCAGCACACTCGAACACGGGGGATAAATACTAAGATGGAGTGCAATGCAATGTGCTTGTTGCCTGCCTCTTAAGTTAGAAACTCTGATACATTAAAACATCAACGATCATTTGTTTTTCCATACTGGGACTCCCTGCAATGACTTGTCAAAGGCATTCTGTGGCTTAAGAGTTTTAAAGTGCTACTCTGGGGCCCACCGTGCCGGCTGGGCGCTATGGGAGAGGACTGGGTTGGCAGCTGCAAGGCTGACTGACGGGAAGAGACTCCCGCTGAGGTGCTCAGAGGACCACCAGGTTACTGATGAATGACTGTCCAATCGGAAATGTGTTCTCTTATATAACACTGGTAGAAGTTAAGAACTGCCAGGTTTATAATTTTTTTCTCACCAGGCAACTTGGTCTTTTTTTTTTAAATGACTGGAGAGCTTTGAGTTTTCGAACAAGCAGAATACAAAATGAGACAGAAGTCCTCAGCACAGACCGTTCGTCTGGGATGGGGGATTTCTAAGACAGCTCTTGGGTGGGGGCCATCCTGCCCCCTTCCCCCTTTGAGTCCCCATAGGAAGTGCTCCCTGTTTCCTCACCCACTGGGGGCGGGCACAAGGCTAAGACTTTAACAAGACAAAGATGATGGAGGAGGTCACTTGGTCCAACACGGGAAACCTACAGTTACTTGCGGACGTGATGGGAAAGTGATGGAGGTGGAGAGATGGGGCCGGCGGCTCCAGAAGGAGCAGAAAGGAAGAGACGCTTGGGAGGAGCAGGAGTTGGCCACGGACGGGGCGGGCGAGGAGCCGAGAGAGTGGGCAGCGGCGGGCGGCGCTGCTGGAGGCCCAGCGCCCGCCCGGGACGTCCTGCCAGCCAGGAACCCACACGTCCCTCCCCAGGGGCCGTCGGTGGGGTCGGGGGGATGCACACCAGACTTGTACAGCAGGAAGTCCGAGTACACAGAGAAGGCCCCCTCGACTGGGCCATTCTTGTAGATCTCTGCCATGATCTCCTTCTCGCTGCTGGAGACACTGTAGGAACTGCATCCTGCAAAGAAACCAGCCGAGTGGGGCGGGCGCCTCCTGCAGGGGGCCAGCCACCTCCCGATTCGTGGGGATGCAGCAGGCGGGACCTTGCCGTGTGCGTGTGTGTGCGTGTGCGCACGTGCGCAGTAAGCATGAGGCCCTAGAAGCAGGGAAGGAGCAGAAGGCTCCTAGGCCAGATTACTCCCCATGACTGAGGGGTTTGGTCTCTTCCTTCCGAGTCTGAGGGTCTGAGGCTCCAATCCCACTGGTGTCAGGGTGGAGACGAGCAGAGAACAGTGTGCTGCTCCCTCCCATTAGAGGCATTAACCACAGCGCTTCTCCTGACCTGTGACTCCAGCGCCCTGGCTTCTCCCTCAGCTTCCCTGGGCCCAGGGGCAGGGGTCGCCCACCCCGCTTACCAAAATGCTTGTCTTCTTTGTAGGACGTGCTGTAGCCAGGCTCACAGGTCTTGCTGCACTTGGGGGTGTCCCCCTCACCGGTGCACGGGGGCCGGGAGCCATTCACGTGGTGCTCACAAGGAGGGATGGAGTACGGTCTGCAGCCTGAGGGGCCAAGGAGAAAGGTGGGTGTCAGCAGGAAGCCCCTCAGAGGCCTGAGAGAAGAACCAGGGCGACAGCTCATGAGCACAGAAGTCACCCAGAGTCTGTGGCGCCAACACTGCCCTCTTCCAGTTGCTGCCTCTGTGTACACAGGGCTGCCCTGTCTTCTGAGTTTTCAGCCCAGCGTTCAATGTACCCTCAACCCTGATCTTCACTTTATAGGGGAAAATGAGACCACTATTATTCCTGCTTATAAAATCCATCTGGCTGGATGGGAGCTAAAGGCAGACACTCACCTATATGGGAGTTATAGAGGCCCCCGGACACTAAGCCTTTCTTTGTCCAGAAGTTCCAGGCTCCAGAGGGGAAGCCGCCGTTACAGCTGAGAAAAGAGCCACTCATTAAACAGTGTGAGAGTTGTCCTGGCTGCTCCCAGACCACCACCCAGTGTACCCATCACCGCCTTCAGCAACTGGCCCATCAGTTCTCCCAGGTCCCCAAAAGTCCCCAACTCTTCTCCTGATGGTCACTTCCTGCTGGGAATCTCCCAGGCCTGCCCACCAAGTACTTTCACAATCAGAAGTACTTTCATAATCAAGTGCTCACCAGGAGGCTGTCTCTTCTGTCTGGACAGGGGTTCTCAAAGGGCAGCACATGGGAATCCCTGGGCTATGTTACAAGTACCAGTTCTAGGGATTTCACTCTGTGGGCTGAGACCTAGGCACTCCCTTTTTACTTTCTTTTCACCCCCTAGATTTTTCAAATCTGCAGCCACATCTGAGAACCACTGTTGCAAAACCAAGGCCAGAACTGGCGGAAAACAGGGAGCTGTGTTCCTAATGTGGCTTATCTGGGAACCCATCAACCTCAATTACAGAGGAGACAGGCCCCAAGCTGTTCCTCAAGGAACAGGAAAGGAGAAGCAGCACAATAAAACCCAGAAACTAAACCGGGAACATCTGTCCCACCCCCCCCACCCCCCGCGACCAACCCCCAATCCAGCCCTGTCGGGGGCCAGCCTGGTTTCAGGAGCCTCCTAAAAGCAGCATCCCCCAGGGCCTGCTTCCAGATGCCCGGGGACCCATTGTGTCTCAGTGGAGACATCATCCTGCCCGAGGGAGTATCACACCTGCCCCCTACAGGGAGCCCTCCGGTCCAGTCCACCCACAGGTCTCCTGGGGCAGCTCCCGGGGGCTCCGACTCACCCTTCTCCACACTCGAGACCACAGCAGGTCAGCATGTCCTCAGCAGACACCTCCACGTTAACACGCCCATTGCTGTGGATGCAGATCCGGTCAGAAATGGCTTCCACAGCCCCAAACGCCTGCAGGAACAAGCCCCGGGAGGTAAGCCCCGCTCCGTGCTGCGGTCCCTCCAGCCCACACCCAGGAGACCACAGCTGACACCTCGGGCCTCCTGGTGGCTTGTTTCTCTCAAGGCAGCTGGGGGTCCCGGGGCTCACGCTGGGCTTTAAAGCAAGAGACCAGTTCACCCCAGACCTCTACCTGGGCATTTGGTTTATTTCTGAAACATGCAGTTTTTGGATTTTTAACATAAAAGTATAGCTTGCACAAAGGACAAATACTGTTATGATTCCACTTATATGAGACACCCAGACTAGTCAGTATTATAAGAGCTCCCCCACCCAAAATAACAAAGTCAGGGGTGGAGTGTATGACTGTTAGCATAAATGATGCCACCTTGGGTCCCTAGAGCTTCTCCCGTCCTTTTGCTGATATACCTCGACTGCATGATGCAGTGAATCACTTCTATGTCATCAAAGGCTTTAGTATTTAACAGACTTTGTTTCATAATCATTAGGACCATGTAGCCTCTATGTTCTGTTAGTCCCCAAACAATGATCAAAGCCTTCACTGACATAATGCCTAGTTACCCATTCATGAATCTTGACTTAAGAATGTACTTCCCATTTTCAAGCTCCTAACTGCCCCTTCCCATACCCTAGATTAGCTATAAAAATGCAGAGGCCTCTCAGTGGTGTGGAGTACAGCTGCAAATGGTTCCGGACTCTTGTCCCCACTCACATCCCCATCCTGATCCTACCCTGTGACTCACCCTGTAATAAACTGATTTGCTGATTTAAAAAAACAAACAAACAGAAAAATCATAGTACAGGGAACTTTACTAAGTGCTCTGTGGTGACCTAAATCAGAAGGAAATAAAAAAATTGGGGGATACATGTAGCTGATTCACTTTGCTGTACAAGAGAAACCAACACAGTATTGTAAAGCAAGTATGTGTATGTGTGTTCAGTCATGTCCAACTGCTTATGACCCCACAGACTGTAGCCCACCAGGCTCCTCTATCCTGGGATTCTCTAGGCAAGAATACTGGTGTGGGTAGCCATTCCCTTCTCCAGCGGAGCTTCCCGACCCAGGGATCGAACCTGGCTCTCCCACACTGCAGGCAGATTCTTTATTGTCTGCGCCATCACTCCAACAAAAATTAAAAGAAACGAAAAAAAGTCAGAGAGACAGAAAGGAGAAGAGTGGCCGCTGGGACTGGTGGAGGCGAGCAGGAGTTTGTGTTTTGTGGGGATGGAGTCTCAGCTCTCCAAGGTGACGGGTTCTGTGGACGCAGGTGGTGATGGTTGCACAGCAAGGGGAATGAACCCAATGCCACTGGCTGGCACATGAATGACTAAGATAGTTACTTTTATATCACGTATTTTACCCACACAAACACAGTCAAGACAGCTCACTGATACAGATGCACTGCTACTTCATGAAGCAGTGTGGGCATGCCAAGTTGCTTCAGTCGTGTCCAACTCTGTGCGACCCTTGGACTGTAGCTAGGCAGAGCAGGGGTCAAAGCTAATGGTGTCTGCGGATGGCCCAGGACAGGGTGTTCAACAGAAATCAAAACTGCTTCACAACCCGTATGTGGGACATGCCTTGTACAGGACACTCTGCCTGTCAATTCTTCCACCTGGTCCTGCAGTGATTCACAACCGCCAGGCATCTGTCTTTTACATTAGGGGAGACTGAGCCTCCAGAAGTTTATGTGACTTGCCTAAACTCCACCTGTCTAACCTTAGATCCCTGGTTGATCCCGCCCTTACCCAGCCCCTCGCCCCAACCCTCCCTTCTGGCCAGCAGGGCCTCACCCAGCAGGAGCCACAGGATCCCTGGTCTCTGATCTCTTTGATGGTCGGGCAGTTTGGCCACTGTTCCCGGGCATCGAAGCTTTCAGGCAGAACCACATCCGCAGCAAATGCATCTCTGAAAAAAGAAAGGTCTCCATCATAAGCCGTCACCCTACAGTCCGCGCCCCCAACCCCTGTGGCCTCGGCTGTCACTTTGCAGAGAGAGGCATGATGATGTGCGGAGGAGGCCATGTGCAAGGATGTCCCCTTGGAATTTTATTAGAAATTTTTTTTTTTTTTTGCTGCGCCAAGCAGCATGCAGGATGTTGGTTCCCCAACCAGGAATTAAAATCATGCCCTCAGCAGTGACAGCATGCAGTCCTAACCTCTGCACTGCCAGGGAACTTCCCACTTGGAGCTTGATAAAAACAAAACTGGGTTCTACTCCTCCAAATAACTTACCATTCTGTATACTTCTGCCTAAACTTATTTTATGCTTATTTTTTAAGAGTTTTAACCTCAGGGTCCAGATAATTACATCTCTTGCTTTCCCCATGCTACCCCGAATCAAACATCTGCCAGATGTTCTTTTTTTAAACATCTTAACAACTGTGTAATGGTCCCGTCACTTAACTATCCCAGCCTCACAGACTTTTCTAATGCTTCCTTCAAGGGAAGTATCTATGTGAAAAATGCAACATTAACAATAAAATGAAGAAAGATAAAACATTAATGGCAGATCACATGACTTTTTTCAGATTTTCCTTATTCAAGACCATTCAGACCTGGGGCCTCTCCCGCTGCAGCCGGGACACCTGAGAAGCAGAGGAGGAAACTCTGGCACTGGGAGCTGGCCCTGCACCTCGGGCAGGGTCCCTGCAGCCTGGTGGGGGGGCGGGGCGGTGAGGCCTCTGGATGCCAGGGAAGGCTTCCTGTCTCCCCCTTTCCCCTGTGCCAGGCAGAACCTCTGCTCACATGGCAGCGATGCTGGTGCAGCCGGGCGCCCCACCCGGGAGCGGGTACCCACCTCTGGGGCAGCTTGGGCCCGCCCAGGATGGTGCCACACAGCTTCTTCACGTAGCTCAGGTCCACGTTGTAGAAGTTGTGTCCGGCCTGGAAAAGAGCCCCACCCAGAGCAGTCACTCACCAACCTGGGGGGCTGGGGGTGTGGAATGTGCACACCACCCACACAGGGCCTGACAAGGCCAGGGGGCCCCTCAACCCCAGAGAGCAAGGGTGCTGGGGCACTGCTACAGAGTGGAGTCTCCCCCCAGTTCATGTTGAAACCTAACCCCACCGTGACGCTGTTACACGGCGGGGGCCTTTAGAGATGGTCAGGTCATGAGGGTGCAGCCCTCAAGAATGGGACTAGTGCCCTTCTGCAAGGAGACCCCAGAGACCGAGCTTGCCCCTCAGGCCAGGTAAGGACACAAGAAGTCACCACTTGCCACCTGGAAAAGGAGCCCCACCAGAACCTGGCCACGCGAGCACCCTGATCACCGTGGGCTCTCAGCATCAGCCCAGCTGTGAACTCCACGGGGGCTGCTGTGGGCGTGGGCCTAAGCAAGCCAGGACCGTGAATCAGGTCAGCTGTCCAGGACACACCAGCCCGTGGGCCACAGCTGCAGCCCCTCCCTCAGGAGTCAGAACGCACAGAAGGGGCCCCCAGCCCACCTTCCAAGTGGTGTTTTGCTTGTTAACAAAGTTGACCAGCTCATCGGACAGAGGAGGGAAATGCACATTGCTCCGGGCACTGGTCAGCACCAGCAGGCAGCTGAGGGTGGCCAAGAGCTGCCACATTTTGGAAACTGGATTAGAGATTCACCTGGAGAGGAAAGGACACAAGACATCAGTATGTTTCTTCCTTTGGTTCAAGTGCTCGACACACACAAGGTGTCACCTCAGGATGCACCGTTCTGGGGGCCTCGTCCCATCCTCTCTCCGCCACCTGCCCCCTCATGCTCCTTAGCTTCCCCTTCCGGAGCCAGGGTGTCGGCAGAGTGCCTGCAGGGACCCCGGCACCCATGAGCTCTCATGCCTTGTCTCAGAGTCCCAGCCCGTGCCCACAGCACACAGGACTGCACGATGGACTGAATGTGTGTCCCCCACCCACAAATTCAAGCAGCAATCCTACCCCAGAAGGTGATGGTGTCAGGAGGTGGGGCCTTTGGGGGAATGATGACATCATGAGGGTGGAACCCCTATGAGTGGGATTAGTGCCCTGATTATAAAAAAGACCCCACAGAGCTCCCTTGCCTCTTCCTCCATGTGAGGACAAAGGGCAGTCTGACCAGGCAGAGTGGACCACACTGGCCCCTGATCTTGGACTCCCAGTCTCCAGAACTGAGAGCAGTAAGTTTGTCTGGAAGCCACTGCCTGTGACACTCTGCTGCAGCTGTCTGGATGGCTAAGAGAGGCCGTGCCGTCCAGGAACACAAGACAGAGAGCCAAGGAAGGGCTGTGCCACGCGCGTAAGGCCCCCTGACGTGGGCAGGACACCGAGTCACTTAATCTCCAAAGCTGCTGCAGGGCCAGCTAAGGGATCACAGTCTGAAATGGTGCTGGTCACTGCATGGTCTGTGAACCAACCATCTCTTGAACTATGAGGCTGGTGCAAAGGCAGCCTGCTGTCTGTCAGAACCCACCCCAGGGCCCAGGCGACAAGCGGTGCCAACAAGTCCATCCCAAACAAACAGATGAAACCAAATCTTCACGCAAAGTCAAGTCCACTGCCCCTGCTGCCTCTGCCTCTCCATGCACTTCCGGAACAAGTTTGGGGCTTTTCTCAAGTCTGAGCTCCCAAAGAGTAAACACCTTTCCCCGCGATCACGTCTCAACTGGAAGCCCAGTCAGAGAGAAAAAATGAAACCGAAGATATATCTCACGAGCCACGTTTTGAACACCAGACAAGCAAACACAAGTCCACCTCCAGCTCCGCATGCCTTTCTCAAGAGCCGGGAACCAGAGCTGGTTTGGCCAGTGGCACAGGTCTCCTGGGACTGTCTGTGGTTTTTCCAGTCAGACAAGTACTCTGCTTCAGAGACGGGGCTCCCGAGAAGGTGAGCCATCCCATTACCACTATGGCCTTGGATCCTAGACTGGCCTACAGCTCAGGAGACAGGAAAGTTCTAGCTAGGCCTCTGAGTCACGTTCTCAGGCAAGAGGCTCTGATGAAAGCAAGAAATATGACCCAGGTGCCACAGCACCACCAGGCCTGGGGAGATGCCCTCTCAGTGAGTGTGTCTATGCGTGTGTGTGCACGCGCGTGTGTGCACTGGGGACCCTCCTGTCCCCAACCTCAGGAGCTGGTCCCTGCGTCACCTCCTCAGATCACAGGTTGCCGTGAGTGGAACAGGAAGATGAGGTGGCTCACAGCACTGAACAGGCTGCCTCCCACACAGCCAATTATATTTAAGCAAAACAAATCTAAATTTATCTGTTGCTTAAGCAACAAGCCACTGGGAAGAATCCATGCATGAGGCTAGCAAGGCAGTTCTGGAAAACAGCAGTGACGGAGGCCTGAACCCCTGGAGTGGAAAGGTATGAAGAACTCCGAGTAATGCCAGCTCAGGAAGGGGTCCATCAACACAACAGGCCACTTGGAGGCACAGCCTATGTGTGGCAGAGGCGGGGGAGGAAACACACATCTCGGTGGATGGGGTTTGCACAACTGGTTGTGCATTCAAAAAAAGGAAAAAAAATAAGACTGAATCTTTACCCTCAAGTTCTTACACACACACACACACACACACACACACACACACACACACAAATGCTACATGGAACAAACATCTTGCATAAAAACACAGAAGTTGTATGAGAAAATAAGCACACTTAAAAAAAAGTCGTATTCAGACTATCCTGGTGGCTCAGGGATAAAGAATCCGCCTGCCAATGCAGGAGACGCAGGTTCAATCACTGAGCTGGGAGGATCCCATATGCCGCAGAGCAACCAAGCCCGTGAGCCACAGCTACTGAGCCTTCGCTCTAGAGCCCGGGAGCTGCAAATACTGACCCCATGTGCCACACCTAGACACATGGCCTGCCAAACACGAGAAAGCCCGCGTGCAGCAAAGACCCAGCAGAGCCAAAAATAAAATAATCTTTAAGATTATTAAAACAAACAAACATAATACTGGAGTGAGGAAGGCCTAAGACTGACATCAAACAGAGCCCTTAAGCGGAAAATATTTGATTACATGAAAGTAAAGCCTCCCTTTAGAAAAAACAAAATGCAAAGTGACAGACAAAAAACAGCCTTTACACATACTTAAGGCTTTGTTTCCCTAGTAGGCAAAGGACCCAAAATCAGAAGAGAAACAGCATAACAGAAAAACAGCCAAAGGATATACACAGTACATGTACAGAAAAAGAGCTACAGAGGGCCAACAGATATTTAGAGTTGCTCATCAAAGAGGTATTTATCTTCCACCACACTGCCAGGAGCTGTAGGGTTTGATCAGTTTCCATGGGGTTAGAGGTGGGGAATCAGGCGCTGCTGCTGCTGTCTACCCATCAGTAGGTACCGCCCAGCCTCTATCAGCTCTTTAATCCACACACCCTTTGACTCAGCAATCTGACCTTTTGAAATGTATCCCACAAGCCTCAAAAACGCAGACACGGGTACACTAAACAGTCTTGGTGTTCACAAAAGACCAGAAAGAAAGCATCTATAATAGTAACTGTTAAGTTGCAAATGGTTAAATAATGAAATACAAAAGCAGCCATTAAGAAATGAACTTGTGGAAGTGAACCATATTGTACTGACAATAACATATATGTGTGTGTGTGTGTGTGTGTATACATACAGTAAGTGAAAGAAAGCAAAGGAACAGGTGAGTCATGGCAAGTGTGGGCACTCAACCCGTGTACACGTTTATTCCTGTCACTACATGCAAAACGTCAAGAAAACCGTACACAAGTCACATGTAACTGCTTACGATCGCTATACGTGTGCGTGCTCAGTCGCGTCCAACTCTGAGACCTCACAGACTGCAGCCTGCCAGGCTCCTCTATCCATGGGACTCTTCAGGCAAGAATACAGGAGCCTGTTGCCATTTCCTCCTCCAGGGGCTCTTCCCAACCCAGGGATCAAACCCACGGCTCCCAAGTCTTCAGCACTGGCAGGTAGATTCTTTACCACTGAGCCACCGAGGAAGCCCACGTTCACTATATAGCCTTCCCTCTTTTTTTTCTATTAATTTTTATTGAGTGAATATGCTATATTCTAAGTTTTGTTTCTGTAGGAAGAATAATACTGGTGCTACCAAAGACCGAAAGCCACCCAACTGAAAGAACATGTTCTGAGGAGGCCCGAGATGCATTTCCAGTCAGAAGCCGCCTCTTGAGTGACTTTCTGCTCAAAACGCTTACCCTTCCCATGTTCAGTGACTCATAGGAAGGCTGCTGCTCACATGACCCCAAGACGGGGAGCCTCCAAACTGTCAGGAAATATTTCACTGGACACGCATGTGCCAGGAAGGGACAAAGGGGTTCTCCAGGGCTTCTTTTAAAAAGGCTTCTGAGCAGAGAAGAGGAGGGTTCCTATCGATGCCCTGACTTACACTTGCCATCTCAACACTGCCCTGAGAAGACGGGTGTGCTCCCTGCATACAGACCCACCCCTGCAGCTGGAGGCCGGGCCGACAGGCCCATCAGAAGCATAGCTGGAAGGGTCGCCACCCTCGGCCCTCAGCACAGCCTGTCCGGGTCCCAGGAACACAGCTGGGTCCCCAGGAAAGCAGACGCCATCCTCGTGAATGCTCCCTGTGTGTCAAACTGGAGTGTCCCCGGGACCCCTGTGGGCTTAGTCGGCTGCCTGATGCGCAGAATGGGGTGCTTCCATGCAACCTAACCACACCTAAGATTTCTCTGGTTTCCTGGTGGCAGGAAACGCGGGCAGCTCCCAGCCTGAGCCCGGGACCCCACCCCGCTTTCCTGCTCTGTGGGTCCTACTCCATGGCTCCTATGAACTGTTCTCCCAGCTCAACCCTGGCCTCAGTGAGAACCAGACATGCGAACCTGGGGATTACAGCAATGCACAAACCACTGCCCCATCTCGCCCACTGGGGCTGCAGTATCACATGACAGCATCTGGGTTGCGGTTCAAGGATGAGCTCCAGGCGTGTAGTCCGGTGACCTGGATTCCACTTACTTCCTGTGTACCTGCTTTCACTAAGCCTCAGTCTCACCACCTGTAAAATGGGGCTAATGACCACTCGTGTCCCCCAGTGGAAGTCCGGAGTGAGAGGAGGGTGCCTGCCACAGTCAGAAGGCAACAAAGCCTTCTCCCTCTTTTCTTCTCTCCTTTCCCCATTCACAGCCCATGCCAGACAAGCCCAGTTTGCACAAACCACCTACCTACCGCCACGTCACAAAGAGCCCGAAATTAAAACAGGTGTTAACTCCAGCTGACCTCCCAATGGGCCCCCCTTTCTGAGGGTCCGGAAGCTACTGAGACCCCAGAGAATATGGAGTCAAGTTTCTCCTCCCAAGGGGACAGACCGATGTCCAGGGCACTGGCAACTGCATTCCTGGGGGGTGCCGACCTCCATGGGCATTGTGAACATGGGGCAAACGATGCGCAAACAGCTGGAGGCCCAAGCTGTGCTGTTAGCCAGGGTCACCGCCTCAGCACGAAACACAGTCAGTTTTCACTTCCCTTCTTTCGGGCAAACATTTCCCTTTTCTCATTCTGTGGGGTTATTTTTCCCCCTTAAAAACCAGGGAGAAAGAACAGAAAGTCCTTTCAGTGAGGGAAGAGGCCCCCATACAGGATTACAACACCTGCAAGTCACCAGACCCCGTC